CTTGCCCCGAGTCTACGCTTGGGCATAAATCGTAAACCCACATGTTATAAGCAGCTTTTTGCTCTTCCCGAGTGCCAGCCTGCCGGGAATGATCTGACGAGAAAAGCGAATGCTACTGTACGCGCAGGAAGCAGCACACATGCTTGCTGCACATATCCCACCCGGCACATGACGACAGGATGGGGTGACAGTGCAAGAAACATGGAAGCATGACGGACATGGATTGTCGGAATCTGCCAGCCAAGGACCAGGACCGGGACCGGGACCGGGAAAAGGACCGACATGTTGGAACCCAATTGACTGGAGCCGAGGGAGAGCAGCCGGGGCGGGTTGCAGATACGGATAATCACAAAAAGGGGACCCGATGACTCTCGTTTAAATCAACTACATGCTGCAGTCAGTGGGCTCGGTGTGACGGTTGCTACCTTGCTGTCCCGTAAAATGCTCGAGGGCAGTGCCTACCTAACCTCCATGTGCCCTGCAGCATGCCAAGTGTTGTGGCCCGTTGGGAAAGCAGTGGGTGATACTGTATGGATGGATGATGCTGTGCATTGTGCAGGTACGTACGACCTGACACTGATACAACGGGCCAGATAACCAGACCACAGGGCTCGTTGATAGATAACTGTGCCGGGGAGACAGGACAAGGAGTTTTCTCAACCGCACAGCAGGGGGGAAAATACGAGCAGTTGGGCAACGTTTGACCTGACTCTTCTCGTTTCTCTCTTACTCTGTTGATAGGGAGTAGGTAATGTAATGTACTGTACCTACCTTAACCCACCACCACCAAGACTTGGTTGCATATGCACTCCATCGGTTCAGTCTCTTTACCTTAGCATTCCTTCGCTCCATTCTGGTGCCATCCATGCCCCATGCCTGCCACGTTTTGTGATGGTTGCGTCGCACAGGGCTAAAAAGCCTAGTGAGAAAAAGGAAAAAAGACTTGTTTAGCTCCCTTTCCGTTACCATCTGGCCATCCCAGCCCGTCCCGCACACTACCGCAGGGTCCGTCATACCGGCGCACTGGAACCGGGACGGGACGACATGTTTTAGAGGGAAGCTGAGGTGAAGAGCCCGTCACCCAAGTTTGGCACTAAAAGGCCGCGGCTCCGTACGGGCTGCACTGTGCGCGCTTGTTTGCTTAGCCTCGTCCGCCCCCCTCCCCCCCAAGCCCGGGCGAGCGGGCCTGTCCCTGGTTGACTTTTTGACGATCGCCCCGTGCGCTCCCCCGGATCAACGGTCAGCGGGTAATCATCCCGTCCCGTGCCGCCGCCGCGGCTCCGCCCCATTCCCCCGCACCCACCTCCACTTTGCAGACGGAGGTGGCTTGCTTTTGCACACGCGATGCCCGGGTCTAGGAATAATAAGAGCAATTACGTGCATGGGTTCTAAAAAGAGGAAGTCAAATGCGCCAAGTAAAAGACGAGTCTAGCGCAGCCAATTCATGCAGCTTGTCTTCAGTTTGGCCGTTCCACCACCATGTACACAACTCAGCTAGAGTCACTATCTATTCGCAGAGACAAAAACAACCCGGAAAACTATTTGCAGCTCTACCTTGAAATGTTGACAGCCTTTCGGTTTGCGGATGACAGCCAGTGATCAGCTTGAAAGTGCAGCAATCTGCAGCGGTGTGTGTGTGTGTGTGTGTGTGTGTGTGTGTGGAGACTGCCCAGTCATTTTTCGGTTGGCAGATTTCAGGAAAGGTTGAGGCACCAGCAGCTCACCTTAAAACCTTATATTCACACCATTTCAAGTCCTTCCCTCGCTCACCCACAAAATAAAAATGGAATAACTTTTTTTTTGCAACGAAAGTATCAGATACCCCCTTCTCTGCAAGGCATTCCCCTGTTTGTGGCTGCCAGGAACGACACACCTTATTTCCAAATCCTCGGCTATCAACGCATATCAAGTCAACACCCTCTGACATCATGGAACAAATCACACAACCAAGCACACGGGATCAAAATGCCGGCCATGGACTCGAGCAGGATATCACTGTACGGCCAAATGAAAATGATGAATGGCACGAGAGCATCAGGGACGCATTACGGATACTAGACCTACCAGACAACTTCACCGTTGGGCTCGACCTGATGACCATGACTACCACCACCAGCCTCCAAGGGTTTCAGAAAATCCCGCCAGGGCGTCATTTTCTTTGGGTGCAACAACCAGGTGCTCCCTTCCGGTCAGGGTACTGGTTCGTGTCAAAAAATTGGCGAGGAGATTTTTGGATCATAAAGTGGGACAAGTTCAACGAGGTGCTGGCCGAACTGACTCCCGAGGAGAAGAAGGATGCTGTTGACAGAGCGGATTTCGAGAAACTCGTACCATACACCCTTGATGGGCTGACCAACAACAAGGGCCGGTCCGGTGGTGAACCGGTAGTTGCTGATTACTCGTTTGCACCCACTGACTCTTTGCAGCCGGTTTGGTCACGAGATCCTGCGTCCCTCTGGGCCATGCTGACGGATGATATTACTACCGACACCATTCCTCGAAACAAATTGGAGCCACGTAACAACGAATTTCTTGTCGATTCGACTACTGATCGCAGGCCAGACCTGCCGCTGGAAAGTAGTTCAGCAATGCAAGCAAAATACGATGGCCAGTTTCACTTTATCCCGTTCTCCCACATACCGAGGGAAGCCGGGTCCGGAAGATTAATTGGCAGACCACACGACGAAATAATGGACGAGATACTCTCCGAGATACATTTCTCCTTTCTGACCGGAACTTTGCTCAGCAACCTGGCCTGCCTTGAGCACTGGTGGGACTTGGTGTTGAGAGTGGTGTTGAAATCCTGGGATTTGGTTTGGGCACGACCGAAGTTTGTGGGGGACATGATTACGATTCTGCATGCCCAGTTGTACTTCACAGAGGTGTGTCTTGAGGGGGACAACACGCCTGTGTTGGGTGGGGCCAAGGGGAAGTCCAAGACTGAGGCTGGTCCGAATCCGGATAGGGTGTTGTATCAGGTCAAGAGGGGAAGCAGGGAACGGTTGAAGAAGGCGCTGGAGAGCTTTAGACAGGACATGAAGACTCGTGTTCAGGGGCAGGACACGATAATTCGTATTCCAGGGCGGAGTGGGAAGATTGCAGAGGCCAGGAAGAGGTTTGAAGAGTTGGAATGCTTCTTGTTTGGTTTGGGCTGGGACCTTGGGGGAAAGGGTTCTGGTGCCAACAGAGAGGACAGCAGCAGTAGCGAGGATGAGGATGCAAAGGAGGACGAGAACTGGAATAGCGAAGATGATGATGATCAGCCGGTTATGGTTGAGTTGGACGAGAAGGGAAGAGAAGTCGGGCTGGTCAGCTTTAACGACTAGCTGTGTTGGCGCTTTGCTGTGGTGTTGGAACGCGGGACAATTGAAGGCCCAGCTCTTTGGTGGTTATCTTCTCGGGGGGGCTTGGATTGGTCTTTGGGTGCATGGTGCAGAAAAATGATTCCTGAAAGCTGTTGGTAAAGTTGGGCTGGTGCTTTGAGTCCTGTCATAACCAAGCTTGCGTATTTGGCAAGCTTATTGTGGCTGACAGGTGCCCCTGAATCACTGTTTATTTGCCAAGCCAGGGGTGCCTCCGGTGGTTGCTGTGGGCGAACGGCCCAGTGGGACTTCCCCGGATTCCCCAACTGTGGCTGCTTATCTCATCGCCCCGCCTCCCACCTTGAAGCTACCCGCTTTCATTCATCATTCGTCACCAACCTCACTCATTCACCAACTCACCCTGCTCATAATCCCCAACACCAAAACACCCTGCTCTCATTGGTCCAAGGAAAGCCTAACACCGAAATCATGTCCCGCAAAGGCGTCGGCCTCGCCGCCTTTGATCGCTCCCGCCTCACCTCGGCCTCGTACGCAAACCACGGCACCGCCCTCCGCACCACCAACGCCCAAGCCCTCGAAACTCAGCTCTCCGTCTTTCGCTCCCTCCTCCAGCAGTTTGCACAGCAACACGGCAAAGAAATCCGCTCCAACCCCTCTTTCCGCGCCCAGTTTGCCCGGATGTGCACCGCCATCGGGGTGGACTTTCTGGCCGCCTCGGCCAGCCACGAAGGCAGCGGGGGAAAGGGAGGGGAGAGCTCCATCTGGGGCCAGCTGCTAGGGAGGACGGTGAACGACTTTTACTTTGAGCTCGCGGTGAAAGTGGTGGAGGTTTGCTCTGACACGAGGGGGGAGAACGGGGGGTTGATTGAGGTGAGGAAGGTGAGGGAGCTGCTGCAGGTGAGGCAGGAGAAGCAGATGGGCGATCCGGGGCAGAAGGAAGGGGGGGGGTTGACGGAGGATGATGTACTGCGGGCGGTAGGGACGCTCAAGCCGTTGGGGTCGGCGTACTCGATTGTGAGGGTGGGGTCGAAGCCGTATATTCGGTCGGTGCCGAAGGAGCTGAATACGGATCAGAGTGCTGTGTTGCAGGCGGTGCAGGTGCTGGGGTATGTGTCGGTTTCGATGTTGATGGTGAATTTGAAGTGGGCGAGGGCGAGGGCCAAGACGGCGGTGGAGGATTTGGTCGGGGAGGGGATGCTGTGGGTTGATAAGCAGGCTGGGGGTGAGTGGGATTACTGGAGTCCTGGGTTTATGCTGGAGGGGCAGGACGGTGGTGGGTTTGGGGGGTGAGGGAGTGGTGATGATGGCTGGTGACGAGCTGAACCGATGTGGATGAGAAAATTCCCACCCTACCGGCTCAGCGTTGTCAAAATCATGCTGTCTTGTTGCCCTCAAGATAAACTGCAGGCATCATTGTTTGGAGACGCCTCTGGATTCGCCCCATCTCACCATACACAAGACTCAGACGCAGGCGCTTTCAACCCCGACCAGACGAGGCCTCATCATTTGGGTCCAAAAGCAACCTACCTCACAGGCTTTCGAGGTCTAGGTTACTGCGGTTTGTACAGGTTCTGGTTGTGTTCTAGGAATGAAAAATGATTGGGACAGGATAAAACACAACAAAATCGACCAGAGGCCCTCTCAGGAGAGCCGTTGTGCATGGGGAACCTTGATGACGGTTTATATCATGGTTGGTAATTTGATGTTTTTAAATTAGATGGACAACCCAACACTGAACTCGGTGTTGAATTTAAGAATAACATTTATTTGTACGATTGTTGTCTCTTGGATTGCATGTTTGACACCGGATGGCAAGTGGCATATTGCATTATCGATTGTTGTCTGTCATCTTAAAAAACAAGCAAGGGGCTCTGCCTAATCATTTAAAGCAAATAGCCACCCAAAGCGAGAAATACAACGCTGTAGAAAGGGTATCCCCCATACGCTGAAAGATCCGGCCCCTATAACCCAACATGACAAGGGGTGAACAAATTGCCATTTGAGAAAAAGAAATGACATAACCTTTATGCATGCAACACAGCTAGTGCAGCCCACTGGCTGTTCCACTCGCTCTACTACTTCTGCTCCTACAACGTAAGATATTCAGCTGTGAATGCCTCCCCCATTACTGCTCGTTGGACATTCCTGAACTGGGGCTCAAACCCGGGGGTACCCCCAGAGTGGGGGTTGTCAGCTCTGTAGTATCTGCAACGCCATTGGCTGTCGTTGTGACAACAATGTCTGCAGTCCCGAACTCAACTGCCTCCTCGGTCAAGGCCACCCCCTCGATAACCTCCAAAGGTTCAGATCCAAAGATGTCCATCCCATTGGCCTCTTCCGCATCTGTTTTGTTGTGCTCGGCGTGTTCAAAGGATGAGGACAGATCAGTCTCGGATTCGGTATCGTCATCCTTGACGGAAGTGGTGTAGCCCGGGGCCGTGATACGAGTCCATAGGCCATCCAAGTCGACGGAGAAGACTGGCTCGGCTGTCGTTGGTGGCGAGGCTAGTACCGGAGGGCCAAAAGTCGAGATGGAGGCAATCGGATCCCCCGTATCCTGATCGTAAACCATGCCTGTCGATTCCGTCATGACGTGGTCATCAATGATCTCGTTGGGTGAGACCGAAGAAGAAGAAGAAGCTACAGGGGCACGGGCTTTGTGGCCACGGGGCTGGTTCGTGGGAATACGTCAGTGGAATCTCAGGGTACATGGGATAAAAAGAGAATGGACTTACCAGTGGAACAGGCCGACATCCCAAGTTCTTTACAGTCTCCGCATCGACACATGGCCTCATTTTCACTTGGCTGAACGAATACCCAGTGGCTACAGTGGGAGGTATATCTCCGTTCAGAACACCATCCAGACTAACCCAAGACTTTTGTCTACCGATAGGGTGGCATCTGTGACAGACTTTGTGCTGACACTCATACTTGGGGTCCGGCATCCAAGGACGGTCGTCATCGGGGTATTTGAACCCGTACTGATTGTTGAAGTCCTGGTCCCGAAGACGCTCGTTAGTTATCACGTCCAGGACGTGGTCGCGTTGGGCGAGAATCTCCTTCAACTCTTCTGGAGTGTAGTTCCAGAGTTGCTCCTGTGATATTTCGTCCAAGAAGCTGTACTTTTCGCTTCGTGCGTCTGCGCCGTGTTTGCCGAGTGTCATTTGCTGGGAAAAGTTGTGGCCCAGTTGATCAAAGGCAATCTTGGGGGGTTTATGTTAACAAATGATTCTGTATGTGAGTTTGAGTGAAGAGGCACGTACCTGGAAACCGAGTTCTTTTATCCCAATAATCAGAGGTTCTCGGTCCATGACACAGCGATACAGCCACCCAAATGGGTGAGACCTCTTGCAGCTATCGCACTTGAATCGCTCGTTGACCTGGTACAGTGTTGACATGACGGAATGGTGGCAGTTTGGCCTCCAGGCGCGGGAGAGTCGAGCTGGAGGTCTGAGCTGGTAGGCTGTGAGGCTTGAGAGTGGGATGCTCATATCGTGCGGACGTACGGGCACGGCCTGGGGATCGTAGTTTGACAGCGCGAGATTACGAGGCAAAACTCTCTGCTTCCCCTTTCCCTCATCATCATTATCACCATAAGGTGGACTCTGCTGTTGTTGTGGTGGGCCTGAGAAGCCCGGGGGTGGCTTTGATGGGGGTGTGGTGCCCATGTTGTCGAATAGCGATGAAGGAAGAGGCCTAAAGATGGCATCCAGATTACAGAAACAACGCTAGCGAGCTTGCTCGGCTTTTTTATTATTATGGATTATGACGGAGCAGTCAAGTCGCTGACGATTTCGGCGGAGACAGCCATAGATTCCGGAGCCAGGCAGACTCACCTGAAGGTCGCAGGCGTGGGCTTGGAAAGCCGAGCACTCCCTTAGCCAGTAATATTCATCGCGTTTGCTTACCTTCAGGATTGGCAGGAGCACAAACTGGAAAACCATTCAAAGCTTCCATCCATCGCGCCTTCCTTCTTCTCCACCACAAGCCTAGAGCCAAAGCCACCAAGACCCAGGTGAACGGGAAGGTGGGGAGATGGGCAAACGCTCTTTCCCACGACCAAAGCTTGACATCAGAACTCAGATAAAACACCTATCATCACCAGAGAAATACAACACCTACCTGCGATGGGTTCCTTTTCTTCTGCTTTGCTTGACATGATCCTAATGTATTTAGCTCCCGGTTGCCTCCTTGAAACAGAACTCAACATTGCCATCCGTTTTGTACAACATCGGGCAAGGCTGGGATGTCACCAGCTCAAGGCCACAACCACACACAATTCATCCGTTCGGTCTGCCTACATTGAGGGTTTTGTGAGTCTGTGGCGGGGTCTTCTCTTCTCTGACCTACGAGGTGTGTAGGTGGAGATGTGGAGGGGAGTGAGTGTCGTTCATGCCTATCCGAGCCAGACTACACATGTGCAGAGTACCTAGATTGATGTGATGGAACAAGCCTTCTAGAAAACCACTAGATACTTGTACACGCAGGAGAAGATGTCCATTGTGGATGAGGTGGAGGTGAAGTTAAAGGTCCAAGACATGGATGGCATGCGGCTCATGAAAAACCGGGGCTGTGTTATCGCCATTTAAGGCTGGCAGTGGAGCTACCGAGGAAGCTTTCCCACAGCTTCCGTTCATTCCATTGCTGACTTCTTCGTCGGATAGCAGTGCCAAATGGCCATGTCACAGCCAATCAGACATTTTGGACATCCCGAAACCCTGTGCGTCAAGGCGTGGTGCTTGTGGTCTGGATGACTGGCCCAGACGAGCTGAGATCTGGAGGAAGCAGTGAGAGCGACAGGGATGAATGGGCAGGGATCAGACGTTGCCGTGTGCTGTTGTGCTGTGGTTGCTGTCGCTCTCAGCAGCTGTGGGGGAAAACAAAAGCCTCGGGCCATGGGAAGAACAACCAATCAGCGGCGTCCCCTGTGGTCTGCATTCAGGTCCCCACACGCCTGTCTTGAAGGGCGGGCCCCTGTCGCGACGCCCGTCGATGGGGGGAGAGCTCGTCTGCTCCCCCCCAGCGCCCCAATCCGATCCAAAAAACCAGCCTCCCCGTTTCCCGAGCTGGTGCAAGCCGAGATTTCGCGACGACGGCCATCTCTCCTCGATCCTCTTCACCGTACCATTCCTGCATCACACTGGTGAGTTGTTCTTTTTGCCTACCCCAGAGCATTTGTCATTTCCAAGCCCAATTGGCTTTCTCCTCCAGCTGCGACGCGCCTCCGTTTCGTTTGACTTGCAGCCGTCGTCATCGGGATTCGAGACCCGCCCTGTTGCCCCCGTACTCTCTCCACTGTTGTAAACAAAGCGTTGACCTGGGCACAAGGTAGACAGACCACCGACACCGAACTGTGCGCCGCCGCCGCGACACCGAACGAGTTATACATATAGCTAGATGCCGATTTGACCGCGCCGACCATGTCGTCCATCAAGATTGAGCGGGACACCGTTCAGCAGACCATCACCGATGCCGCCAAGAGCGTGAGCAAGAAGGATGTTGGCTTCGTGGGCAGCACCGCCGCCGCCATCGCCGAGGCTGCCCACGGCGACCTTCCCGGCACCACTGGAAAGCATCCCATCTCGGCCGTCGTCGGTACTGCCCTCACCGGCGGCAGAAAGAATGCCGGGACAAAGGGTTACCTCGCTGCCTACCTCCGCCAACTAGAGACCAACCCTCTGCGGACCAAGATGCTCACGGCCGGCACGCTCGCTGGCGCTCAGGAGTTGATCGCATCGTGGCTGGCCAAGGACCGCAACAAGCATGGCAACTACTTCACATCCCGCGTGCCCAAGATGGCCACCTATGGCGCACTTGTCAGCGCTCCCCTCGGCCACTTTTTGATCTGGCTCTTGCAGAAGACCTTCAGCGGCCGTACCAGCCTGCGTGCCAAGATCTTGCAGATTCTCGTCAGCAATTTGATTGTAGGTCTCCTGTGACACGGCTATGTTGAATCAGGCCATGATGTGCTAACCACAGTTGTTTCTTCAAGATTGCCCCCATCCAAAACACCGTCTACCTCGTCGCCATGGCCTTGATCGCGGGTGCCAAGAACTTCCACCAAGTAAAGGCCACGGTCAAGGTTGGCTTCTGGAAGGTGATGAAGGTGAGCTGGATCACCTCGCCTCTCTGCCTGGCCTTTGCCCAGAAGTTCCTGCCCGAGCACACATGGTTGCCCTTCTTCAACCTTGTGTCCTTCATCATCGGCACCTACATCAACACCATCACCAAGAAGAAGCGCCTGGCGGCCCTCCGCAAGAAGCACTTTGGTGAGGGCCGCGCTCCCGGCCCCAGCGGTGCCCCCTCGACTCTGGGCCGCCCTGAGGATTACCCCCCTCTCGGCCCAAACCCCCCTTACTAAATTTTGGGGGTTCCATAATAAAGCTATCGAGGGAACCGTGATGTGCCTGCCAAAGAGGAAAACGTGTGACCGCTTCTCTCGTGTTTCTCTGGAATATGTCTGAATAAAAGGGGGAAGGGACACATGTCTAATGTCAGTGGGGCGGAAGGATTGGAAAGGGCAATGATGGTTGGCTGGATGGATATTTTCTAGTTACGATGATACATGTGTATGCGTGTGTGATGTGTCCGAGCGCGAGCGAGATTCTGTATTTTCGGTTGGCGAGAAGCAGGAATCCTTGCTTTCAGAAGGGAGTTATTTATTCTTTGTGTTTGTCTTGAAAGGAAAGGTGGAGGGGTGGTTGGATACCTGATTTGCACAATTTTGGTTGGTTTTTATTTTATTTATTTTTCTCTCGATTTGTTCATGAATCAGCTATTTTCCCTGGACTTTGGGACCTGAGCTCGAGGTTTTGGCCTTGGGGGGCAAGAAAGATGAAAATAAGATGGATATATGTTTACTGTCTTGGTTTAGACTACCGCGTGTATGTTCTGCTGAAACGTTTTGACGAAAAAAAAAACGATTCTTTCAGATAGGAATCGCCCTCATCTCCTCTAACGTCCAGTACTTCCTCATCGTCTCCGCCTCCAGCTCCTTGACCTCGTCATCCAGATGCTTCATCAGCACCTCCCCCCAGGTGTCCATCTTTTCCTTGAGGACCGACAGCTCCAAGTCGACCTCGCGGCTCTTGCACATGAGGATGTACTCGTGCAGCTGGTCCATCCCCTCGTGGATCAGCTCGTGCTGCCTCAGCAGCTTGTTGCTCTTGCCGGCCTTGAACTGGGGCATCTTCTTGGCCAGGATGGGGTAGAGGTGGGTCTCCTCGATGGAGTGGTGAGACTCGAGGTAGCGGACCAGCCGAAGGCCCTCGTCGAGGAACTGCTTGAGGGACATGTTTTGGGGGCGGCGGGAGTTGACGCAGGCTGTGTAGAGGATTGTCCACATTCCTACAAAGTGGTCGTGCTGGAGAGGTAAGAAGGGAAAATGAGAGATGAGTATGTGAGGGAATAGAGTGAAACAAACAAAGGTATGGCAAAATATGAACAAGCTTACAAAGTACTTCATTTGTTCAGCTAAGCGGTTGTAGATTTTGAACTCGGTTGGTGACAGTGGCGGCAGTGACGAAGTTGTTGCAGTGGACGACGCATCGTCATTGGCAGTAGGAGTGGTTGGCTGGGGAGATGAAGTCTGAGTGGTTGATTCATCTGTATTCACAGCAGCCTTTGCTTGCTCTGTGTCTGCCATGTTGGGCAATCTGTGTGTTGGCGGGTTGTTGAGCTTGGTGGTTTGATGTAATGCTCGATCTGCGCATGATGTTAGCCCAGGCACTGGATATAAGTAATAGACGCTCTACAGACTCTGAACCTGCAACAGAGATTGAAAACGAAGTGAGGCTGTGAAAGGTGCCCTGCTTGTCCTGCGGCTCAGCACAATGACAGTGGTTCTCATCCGGGCATCTAGCGCACCAAGAAATTGTTTTCTGCACAAATGACTCAAAGGTCTCGAGAAGGAATCAGTGTCTTCAGATAAATTGGTAATTGTCCAGTTCTGAGCCACGATTGAGTCAGACTGTGGTCGCGCTCTTTCGGACTTGAGACCTCAAAGATCATTGTTACCAATAGGGGGGGTGTTGGTGATTTGGTAAGCAATTAGCAATCCCAATCCCCTCACATTAGCCCCGGTCACTGCGCGGTATCCCCTTCTGGACTTACAATGACAAACCTCTATTACTGGAAATGCTCAGCGGACTTCTCTTGATATGGGGCACATATTGTATTTTCACGCCTTGGGACAAAAGGGGTATGATATTACATTTGTAACTCCATGAAATCCAGCCGCTATCGCTAAAACCCTGATATCAGATGCCCGTGTTAACCGCCTGCTCGACCCAGATTCGCCACCATATCATACCCATAACCGTGAATATTTTCACCCCTGAAACTGCGATAACCATTATTTGGCCATGAATGCTATAACTCAATGCCTTCCTCTTCTTTGAGGTTCACTGAAAATCGGGCTTGAGAGACCAAGTAGCTCGCATACTGGTTCCCTTCTTCTCCATCTGGGCCACCTTCCCAAGCGCAATCTTGAACTCTTCCGCCTGACGAGTACCTGTGCAATACTGATTGAAATGATCCACCAAAAGCTTAGAGACGACCTGACCACCATGGCGCTTGATAAAGGCAGGAATCATCTTTTCAAAGTCCTTGGCTCGAAGCGTCCTGTCTGGTGCTGGCTGGGCATTGGGAGTTCCTGGTCTCGAACCACTCGCACCAGCATTTCGGATGATGGCCGAACCTGGCGCAATACGTCTACGTGGTTGCACTGGTCGGCCAGCCTCTCCTACCTCACCTGTCCATGTCACGGTGCCAATAGGCACGTTGCGGGCTTGCTCGCCTGCGCGTCGAAGACTGAGAGCAGCTTGAGCGGCGATCCTGTTGGCTTCCTGCTGAATCATCTTCTTGTCCGCCCTCACAGTCTTTTTGCCGTTCATAATCTTATCGTGCTCCAAGGCACTGTGGACCGACCTCGCGAAAAGTCCTTCCATCAGGCGATCCTCTTCATTGGCTGGTGGGTCGGGTTCTGCTTTGAATGTCTCCAGACTAGCTACCCCCTCAATATTGCGGAGGTCGTTTCCCCCGTCATCCTGGGGCTCAGCCTTGACCGTAACGGAGGCGACTTCACGAGCAGCTGCCTTCTTTGCAGAAGGGCCGAGCAGAACCCTATCCTGCCCAGGTATAAGAAGCTCCTTGGGTCCGGATTTCATAAAGTTCTTGGCCTCACTTCCCTTGAACAACTGGCTCGTCTCTGTCATACCGTCTTCATACGAGCTGAGACTGAAAAGATCATGCAGATCGTTGAGGTTGAAGTTGGTCTGTTGTTTCGGGTCTTTGAGTACCTTGTTGGACAGAAATTGCTTGAAAATCTGGCGATGATAGATCTTCTCCTCAATCGTGCCAGCCGTCATCAGGCGGTAAATAGTCACCTCCCTCTTCTGACCCAATCTCCACGCTCTCTCCCGTGCTTGTACGTCCGTAGACGGATTCCAGTCGGGATCAAAGATGATGACTCGGTTAGCACCTGTCAAGTTCACCCCTAGTCCGCCGACCTTGGTTGTTAGCAAGAACACATCAAGACTTGGATCGTTGTTGAACTGGTCGACGAGGGTTTGGCGCTGCTTTATTGGTGTTTTGCCATCCATGCGCAGATACCTCACATCGTCCAGCCGCTGAACAAAAGCCTCAATGATATCTAGCATTTGTGTGCCCTGGGAGAATAACAGTGTCTTGTGTCCGAGTCGTTTCCACATCGGTAGCAGAGACTGGACGACTGCCATCTTGCCTGACTTCTCAACGCTCCCCCAGAGATATCCAGGCTCATTCTTAAGTCGGGGATTCAGCAGATCTGGATGATTACAGATCTTGCGAAGAATATCAATACCATAAAGCGACTGACGGCTCCTATCAAGGATCGATGCCATTTCGTCCGACTTGAGAAAGAGCTCGTAGGCCTCCCGCTGGGGCTTGGAGAGCTTGCAAAACAGAACCTGTTCGCTCTTTTTCGGTAGATCCGCAGCAACGTCTACCTTGAGACGTTGAAGGAGATACGGGCTGATGGCCTCTTTGAGTGTCTCGGCGCATTTTTGTGCTGTCATGATCTGAAGATTGGTCGCATTAGCGTAACCTCCGAGTTTGATGGGGACTTCGAACTGAGTCCGGAACGAAACCAGGGTCCCGAGGCGCATAGGAAAAATGAAATCGAAGAGTGACCAGAGCTCTGTGAGATTATTCTGCATTGGAGTGCCGGATAAGATGATCCTGTTTGGTGTTCGGAGCTCCTTGCAGTAGATTGTGATTGCAGTGTTGGGATTCCGAATCTTGTGACCCTCGTCCAAAACAGCATAACCCCATTCCACGGGGATCAAAACATCGCCATAGGTTTGGAGACCGGCATAAGTGGTGACCAGCACATGGCCGTGTTTCACCACTTTGTCTACAATCTTCTTCGCTGCCTTGCTGGATTTGGCGGGACTTTTCTTATCCCAGTTATCCTCCACATCTTCCTTTTTGCCCTCATCAAGGACGTTGAACATTCCACTGCCTGAAGAGTGTAGAATCGACACGCGGAGAGGTGGCCACCAGCGATGAAACTCGTTGACCCATTGCCGCAGAACGGTCGCCGGTGCAACTACAATGACTGGCTTGTTCAACATCTTGCTGTAATGTAAAGCCGCCACGAACGAGATCAGCTGTACTGTTTTACCGAGTCCCATCTCATCGCCGACGATGCCACCCACCTGCTGAGCATACAACTCAGCCAGCCATTGAACACCTGTCTTTTGGTAATCGAAAAGCGAAGGGTAAATGTCACCCGGGAGCTTCATTCCATTCTCAAATTGATGGTCAGGTTCGTCGGGAGAAGGCTTGAACCACTCTTCCTCGCCGTCCCACTCGCTCTCAACCTCTTGACCCAGTCTGAGCTGGCGGGCTCGCCTTGCACGACTTCTTCGCTTGACCCAATCTTCCAATCGGGCCTGATACACTGCTTCATTCCCGTCGTCAATGTTGCTCAAATCGACCTTTTCCTCACCAACGCCATCCGCCGCAGTAGCGACACCCTTCCCCCTTTTCCTCTTTTTCTTTGGAGTTGTGTCGGTCATGTCGAAATCATCCTCCAAAGACTCGTCCTCCTCATCATCTCTGGCACCGTCTTCTTCAGGCTCAAATTCGTCATCGGATCCTCCTTCGACCTCCTGCACAACTCTCCTCTTCTTTCTAGGCCGTAGCGAAAACTCCAACTCGGCCGTTGAACTGTTCTCGGTCTCCTCTGCAAACCCTGGCCTCCTTAGATTTTGATGACTTCGCGGCCCGTCCCCGACCTGCTCCTCGAGTTCCTCCGCAACAGCCTCATCTTCAGCTTCAATAATCGCATCAGCGAGTTCTCCTTCCACACCATCCGGTCTCGGTCCACCAAACGTCGCGAATGGGGTGATTTTGCCAGTCCTGATCAAATATTCTCTTTGCGTCTCATTGGGAAGCCTTCCACCCACCGCTCCGGCCCCTTTGGACTGTGTCTCTGCAGCTCCCTCCTGATGTCTAGCCTCAATCCTGGTCTCAAAGTCCCTAACATCCTGCTCACAAATCTCAATCTCAGAGTCCAGCCGGGTGATTTCCTTCTGAATCCTAAGCCTGTTGGCAGGCGTGAGGTGGCCAGAAGTGAGTTTGGCCTGTTGGGTCTTTCGCTGGTTTTCCAGCCTCACTTTTTGGATCTGGGCTTTCTCGATACGCTTCCTGTCGCGAGTGTCTTCGGCTTCGATAAGGGCTGCGTTGGCTTGGAGGGTAATGTCGCGTTCTAGTTCGTCTTGGTCACGGACGTTTTCGGTAAGGTGAGCAAGGGCGGAAGCTTCGTCATCGAGATTGGGGGCGGCAAGGTCGGGGACGGGGTTCTCCATTGTGCTTTCGATGGCGGCGTTGAATTCTTTGGTCGATGGCGGATTCGGTTTGTCGGTTTGTGGTATTTCTTGCGAGGCATCACCGGCCGCATCGGGGCTTTCTGCCTCTGGGGGGCTCATGATGACGCTGTATTTTGGCGGCATTGCGGACGGCAATTTGCGATCTGGAAAGCCAATTTCGAGACCTTCGAGGTGGAGTGAATGATGGCGTTCTGAAGCAATCAAAGGAGGAAAACAAGATTTCAAGTGCAATGAGACTGGATGGTACTTGCCATTCTAACTGCGACAAAAAATTAGGTGGAAGTTGTTGCTCAAAAGATGCCGTTCACTGTACGACGGACCTCCTGCCTAGAAGTCGCCATGGGAGCAATGACGCATCGAATCCACTCAGTCGCGCGCATCGAAACACCGCGCGATCATGTGACCTAAATTGCGTGCATCTTGCTTAGCTCAGCCCTGTGAGGCCAAAGTGGAGCCTTGGCAAGGGTTCAGGGGAGGGGGCCGACTTCAACGTTCAACATCCTTGCTCGACGTCAATCTCAACGACAAGTCATCCTATGTTGGTCATTTAGCTGGATATCGTTTTATACTTCCAACTTTCTCGACCATCACTACCGTGTCTTTAGACCATTGCGAAACTACGAGGAGTAGAGAAGCTTTCAAGGATCGTGGGCGGCCCGCGAGCATCAATATCAAGAGTGTGGCTGGTAATCTGACATTTGGAAAACTGCTGTTTAGAGCAACGCAAGGCTTTGGAGACTAGCCAATATCAAACCACTTATACAAGCATATCTGCAAGGAACAAATCTGGATCTACCTATACAGGCGCACAAATGAGAATGTCCAAAACAGGGTATAGTTCTAGACAGCCAGTCATGATCGTCAGTTACCCGTACACAGCTGAAAGCATGCCGTAGAATGTGTCAACTTAGCAAAACGTACTCGATGCATAATGGTCTCCCCTAGGCAATATCGCCGAGGCGTCCTACATGGCTTACCGAGATCTCCACGAAGATTGGTTACACTGATGTCTGGCAAGCATGCTATCCTATGAGATGGGAGAGCGGGAGATTTTCGTGTCAAGAAGACAAGCCAGATACCAATACTCTTGGTTGCTGCCCGTTCCGGGCTCTGGACTTGATGAAACAGTAGCCCTTGGAACGCAAGGGTGAGGTTGCAAGAGATGGGGGCATTGCCGCCATGAGCTCCACGAAACCATGAAAGCTGTACACCACACCATGCGTGTCTATCGCCCACCCGCACCGTACTCGTCAAAGGCACTGACTGCCCTTACACAGGTAGAATCCAGGAGCGGAGACCCGTGGAGTCTTTGGTAAAGGATGTACCGTTTGTACCGTCTTCTCCGGCCAGAAAACCTGGAACATTGACCAAAGCGGGTGGTCGTCTCACACTAGCAGACAAATTTTCCTCTCATCACCTCCCACTCATGTGTTCTGCCCTCGTCATTCGTCGGCCTCCTGCCCTTCCTTTCACCCGGTGGGCTCCTGTGGAAACCCCGCTACAAGAGCGAAGGCATTAGAAATCAGGGTGGTCCAATAGCCGCAGAACACGAAGGCTCATCTGCGAAGTCTCCTTCTCAAACAGGCAGACGAGGCGCTGAGAGGGGGTTCTTGGTGTGCAGTCGCTCTCTTCTACCTCACCGCCCTTTGCGATTGCTCGTTTCACGGGCCGGATAACATGAGGTATCGAGTTCTCTTGCTGTTGGGTCGCAACTTGGTAGGGAGGATCGATCTGTCTTTTACGCATGGTATACGGGTAAAGTTGTTCCGACTCTGGAGTCCCTCACCATGTTATCTCCGTACTTCAGGGGCGGCGAGGAGGAAAATGTTAACGGACTGGCTGGCAGGTGGTGTGATACACATCCAGTGAAAAGTTCGATAAGCTTTGATCGGGATGCCCTTTCTGCGACACACCGTCGCCGTTTCCCCGCTCGGTACCCTTTTGCCTTCTCCTTTGATCATGGCGTTAGGCTGTTTCCGGCCTTAAAGGTTGTTGATATACCCTCATATAGCGGCCTGATATAGCCCGGGTCTGGGGGTAGAACACGACTCCACTCTTGCCACAGAATGACAAAAAAGCGCGCTGCTGATGGGGCCCTCCAACCTCCTCAGATTCTGTGTGCAGTCGTCTCTTGATCGGTCATGGTGCGAGCTGTCTCGGTTTCTGCAAGTGGTAAGTATGTCGTTGTCTGGTTTTGCCGCAGTGCATAGACGGGGTCCACCAGTATCGCGAGTTCTTGGCGCTTACAGAACTGCAGACCCTTTCCTCATGTATCACTATCGGATAAATTCAAGATCCCTAAGAGTATCTGGAGATGACTGACGTGGTGTTTCTGTCGGTCCAAGAGCCACAGGCTGCCAACCTGCGCTTTGACACTGCTTTTGTCTTTTGGTCGTGGTCCCAGCCAGTCTGCTCCACCGGGTGAAGCAAGTCGCAATTTATACGAGACGCAAGTGATATCGCGGGCTTGATGGCCGCATGGTGTGGTTGCCAAGTCAGTGGGTAGGCCGCCCTCTACACTATATGTGCCGTCCAGGAGCAATAACCGCCAGCAGAGAACTGCGCGGCTTCAGCAGGTACCGCTTCAGGGCACCTGGAGATATACCATGAGCTTCACCAATCCCAACCACCTACTGAGGGAGACCAACACACTGAGGGGAGCATAAGACCGTATATTAGAACTTAATCTCCGATTGGGTCACGTCCCGTCTGATGTCGCAATGGGGGCGAGGCCATGATCCTCTATATCTGGAGTTTGTTATCTCGGCCGTACTTTGGAGTTGGGTGTTGAAGGAATGGGAACCATCTTAGCGTTATTTAGAAAGAAACACCGAACTCGCCTGTCTTGGGTGACAGTGGGATACTTCATGAAAGTTGTCGGTTGCTTTCAGAGTGCTGGTTAGAGAGCCACAAGCAGCACGAGCAGCAAGATTGCAAGGCTGGAAAGGTTTTGACGGTAGATGGCGAGGTCGAAACATGTATGGTCAGGCAAAGCCAGGTATCTGGTACACCGAGGAGCCTGTCGCTCACATCTCGCGGGACGACCCATAACAACCGAGAGGTGTTACGCATAGAAACCTTGGCGCCATCGCGCTACACAGACAGTTTCTCGTGGAGCGTGTTGCTCGATCACTGGTGAACCAAACTACAGGACGCAATTTCGCAGAGAAGGTAATGCCGTGCCCCGACCAAGGCAGTGGCGGTCTGCCAACCTCCATGAACCAGGCACAAAGATGACCTGAGGGCGGGGGAACGACAGTTCCAAGGTTGACTGGGTTAGGTGCCTAGGTGGCTGACAACAGGATCCAGGGAGATAGTGGTACATCGGCAGCGCAAAGGAGCTTTTTTCTCGGAGTATTACCGAAACAGGGGTCTCGCCTCCTGCAAAGAACCTGCCTGTCAGCGCCCAACAACCCCTGTGCTGTCCAGTCCTGATCTCCAAGCGATGTAGCTCCTGTGGCTGTCCAAAAGCGAAGCAGAAACCGATTCGACCACGGAAGGTCAAGAAGGCGTATCGTAGTTGTTGGCAAGTGTTTCAGTTCCAGATGCATGTGTCTGCCGCACGTCATGCATACTGCGCGTATATTGTTGCCAAGGAGCCAGACCATGACAGAGACGAGCCTCGTTGGGAGGGAATCTGGCGAATTCTCCGAGACCTACTTGGCGAAGCTGTAGCAGGGGCCAACTTCCACAACCCTGCCTCCAGGGGTGTGCCGCAACAGCCGACTGCATCTCTGCACGTGGAGGTTTGCTGTGACTCGGAATCCATATGTTGGAAGCGGACGGGGAATGCGGAGTAGCTATGAGGGTGACAGGCTCAATATACAGTGCAGCGACGAGATACTCAAAGGAGATCCCGAGGGGAATGGTGTGAAAGGTGATGATGTACCTATTTGTCACCAGATACCTAAGACACCCTGGGCAGCCGGCCCTATCTTGGCAACCGTTGAAGCGCACGGAGCAAGCCTTACTTCGTATGAACAGCTCCTAGATGCTTCTAGTTGGATCTGACTGTCGTGATTTGATCTGGATGTGAACTCTGAAGAGGAATAAACAATATACTATTATGTAGACAAGGCCTTCTCCTTGCCGTCTTAAAAAGTGTAAACATGGTTGATCAGAACACCTAGGAGAGAATATCGTAGAAGTATGTATGCCACTGCCTTTTCAGCTTTCAAGTCCCGATCCAAACACAGCTGGCCTGTGATATCTTCTGTGCACGCGACAATCCTCTCCGAGGATCCACCTAGCTCGTCCATAGCTTGCGCTTGTGTCCTCTCCTGTCTCTCGTGTGTATCCTCTTCTTGTCCGTCCATGCAAAAATATTACCCTTTCGTTGGCCCCCCATCTGGAAATCGTGCCTCATTCCTCGGTCGTAGGCGTTGCGTAGTCTATAGTCGCGCGCCTGTCGTGTATGTCGTAACTTTCCGCCCATCCGACCGAGTCTATATCATAAAAAAGCTAAAACAAATGTGTAGGACGAAATAGATGCCACAAAGGAAAAACAGAGCACAAAATTGTAGAATTTCAGCGGTTTCGGGGTATCTCAAATATTAGCGCCGCTTCTGTTCCAACAAAACAGCAAGCCCATCCCCTAAACATAAATCCATCCGCTAACAAAGAAAAGTAAATCAAGAAGCACGAGAGTGCGGAAAGAAGATGAAAAGGTATTGTCTGTGGATAAGCAAATCCAGTGTATGTGAAGGTAAATCCTAGATCGGGCCCTGTTCGATGGGCGATATGGACAATGTGTCTGTGGAAGCTGGAAGGAAGCCCCTACGGGTCGTACTGGATGCAGTCACTGGAGTTGTGACGGGTAAACGGTGGTGTCCCCCTCAGGTGCCGGAGCTCCTGGTGGAGACGCTGATTGCTATAAGTCTTCGCCTGATAGCTGTGCTGCCCTCTCGCGGCATGCAGCTGGTGTGAATCCGGTGCCGACTTTGTTGGCAACGATACGCCACTTTTCGTTTTCGTAATCTTGCAGAGCGGTTTTGAGTTTTTGATCCTAGACTGCTGTCAGCTTTTTCTGACATTACTTGTCAGAGTGCAAAGGGGGATACTGACCGTTTCATCCGTCCACTGTGTTGTCTTCGCCTTGAGTTTGGTGCAGTAACGCACTTGCAATGTCCCGCTTGACCGACCAGGGAAGAAGTCCGCAATTTGTTTCCACGTTAAGCTCTTGTTCTCCTTCAAGTCAATCAAGAGCTGATCATCCTCTGGCGTAAACTTCAGCTTAGGCCCCCTCGGTCTGGGAGCTGGGGCTGGCATCCCAGCTTGCCCAACCACGCTCGGAGCTCCGGCTCCTATGCTGCTCTCCCCATCACGTCGCATCAACTTGTTCGGAGGTCCTGTGTCTGGCAGCCGGTGGTGGTGATGTGCTGGCGGGACTCCCGTTGCTTGGGCATAGGCAGCGCCTAGGGGCGTTTGCTGCATTGAATCCAGCTCGTTCTGTTCAAGTTCCGATATACCGGGAACCGAAAGATCGAGATCATCAGGCCGTTGACGCTTCACGCCGGCAGTAGACCCATGGGTCGGGGTTAGAGATGGGTAGAGGGGGGGCACGACGTTGTGGGGAGAGGGGCCGGCGCCGTAATGCGATGGCCCTGGATGGGCAGGGTGGCCGAGATGTCGCGCCCCCGGATGGCCGCCCAGGTGCGATGGGTCTGTGAGAATTGGGTGAGGGTGAGGGTGAGGGTGATGTTGGTGAGTGGCAGGATAATGCTGTGGCAGGCCGTGGTGGGATTGATGGGGAGGCGGCTCATGGAGGGGCGGCGGCCCGGCGTGCTGAAGCGAGCCGCGATGGTGGTGCGTATCATAAGGATGCGGAGCTTGGCTCTGCTCGGCCGTATGCGGCTCCTGTGACGAGTAGTCGACATTGTAATCCGGTCCTACGCGATAATTGCCCGCCAGTGTGCCTCCGATGCATGGGTTCCGCCAGAGCGAGCCGCCCTGGCTGGTCGCCGGATTCTGAATGGAAAGAATTGGAGGAAACTGGGCCCCGCGGGGCTTCTTCGGCGGAGAGGTTGGCGTGTGGTGCTGTTCGTGCCCACTCAAAATGGCTGCTGTCAAACCTGGGACTTGCTACTTGCTCTCCTCGCTGATGAAAAGAGCCTGGCTGTCGAGGAAAACCAGGGCACATGTGGTGGTGGCTGCTGGTGAGCGGGCTCGTTCAGAAAGACTTCGGTGATAGGCTGTGTCGGTCACGTTGGTGTTGGGGGGTGGGCCCTCCTCTTGGTAGCTTACTGTGTGATAGCTACAGTATATGTGTGCGTGTGCGGTATCTCGCTGTGGGCGGTAGGCGTCAAATAGTATTACGTCGGTCTCGACATTGGCTGCTAATGATCGGTTCGGTCCAACTTTTGGTCGATGGTTTGGAAAAGATACAGGCAGAGAACGCAGAGTCCAGAGCAAGCGGCAGTGGGCATGACTGGCATTATATCGTCTGATATTCGGTACCGTGTAGCAGAGTGAGAGGGAGGGTGTGGGTTTAGTACCTGTTGCCTGCCTGCTTTGGGTCCAAGAGTTAAAGCATTCGTTAGATACTTCCCATGTGCCTGACAACAGATCGTTCCTGAGCAAAGGTGGAGCCCGAGCTACCTCGACCAACGATGACGGTAGCATAATTTGAGGATCTTATGCCATGGTCTAGCTGCCGGATATAGAAACCGCACCCCGGCAGCAGTTGATGATGCAACGACGGGGGCATGAGTGCTTGGCTTGACCGGCAGGGTTATGAATACAGGACTAATCTATCCTACTCAATGACCCCGGCCGACTCATACCAACGAGGGGGAACTAGGGAAACAAAACGGCCCAAAGAGAGATGTGGGATGGAAACCGCATGGAAGAAGACTAAACATCCAGCTCAATGGAGAATTAAAATGTGAAACAGGACCACCATGCAGGCGGAGACGGGCATTACGACAAGTGACTCCAGGTCCTTCAGTGAGATTCTCGTCCACTGCAGTAACGGCACTTGCCTTGCGAACCAAACTTGACAACGATGCTGCCGTCTGTCATCTCTTTGTGCGAGATCTGCTGGAAAAGAGCAGAAAGGGACTGGGGTCAAGGGGATAGCAGAACATCCAGGCCAGCCTAGCCTACTGACCAGGCTGGGAGGGCAGAGAGCTTGCAGGAAACAGCGCGAATGTACTTGGCGATGATGCTCGCTGGGGCCGGTCAGGTACTGGCGGGTACCCAGGAAGGACCACGGTACCTTGCTGATGAGTCCGCCGAGCGTTGCAAAATGCCGTGTGGGAGGCAAGCGGAGAAGCTGCTGGGTTTTGGTGGTGGGCTCGAGTCCTGTCCTAAAAGGGCCCTAATAGACCAGGGGGCCTATATCAGACACAGACCAGAGCTCGGTTCACGGGCACACCATAGGGCAACCGGAAGACCGACTGCTGGTCCAACGGCCACATGATTAGCTCCCGTGTCCCCTAGAGCTGCCAAAAGCTCCAGGATCCTGGCATTGCCAACGCAAGGCTCGCGCTCGGTATGAGAGAGAACACTAGTTGTCAGCCAGCTCAGGCGCTGCCTCTGTTCATATCGCCGGGAATTTTGACGACATGTTGGTACAAGTGCACGGCGTAAACCCGTGCCTCTGCATGCTTCTGGAAGGGCTTGACCCCGGTCTGGAAAAGAGCAGGATACCTGTCGAGTCGGCCGGCAGAAGCGTTCCCGTTGTAACCCTTTCATGGAGCAAAACCGTGCGTGGTCGGCGATCAGAGTTGCAAGATACCGGTGACGATGGCGAGGACGTGCGCGAAGCTATAGGCGCCCCGGGTATGATATGCCCAGGATACCATATCCAGATCCATATCCGGTTCATCTGATCATCGAGAGTGAGTGGAGGTTGATGGGAAGAGGCGAACACACCGTCCGTTCTATCGGCAACAAGCGCGACTGACGAGCTGGGCCACGGGCAGTACCATCTTGACAGCGAGTGTGGTAGGGAACTCGGATGAGGCTAATCTCGGGACCCCCAAGATTGCGCATATGTCAATGCTGCGAGGGTTCCCGGTCGTTCGCGGCCAACTGACTGTACAAAACAAGGTGTCAGCAGGAGAAGAAAAGGGCGGCAGATCCAGTTTTGCCAAACAAGAGACAGAAAAGTCAGGAAAGGGTAGCTGTTCGGCTCAAAGTGGACGTGCCGGCCGACTACGACGGCGCCGGTGTTTCTTGGCAGCCAGGAGGTGCTGCAGCGCAACGATTTTCTGACACGGTGGAGGCTCTGGCCAAGCATCGCATGAAGGAAACGCGTTTCATTCGAACCTTGCAATTAAAGGCCGTGTTATGCTCCCGCAATGGCAAGATTAACGTGATTTCGGGTTTCTAGAATCCTGCAGCGGTCTTCTAGCTTGAAGCGGGCGACCGGAAAGTCCGGGACTGTCAAGATATCGAAGCTTCGAAGATTCCAAGGGAGCTTCAACATGGACGCCATCGCTGGGTCACCGAAAAGGTCCAAGCGGCCAGGAGAGCGAGAGAAGCCGGGCCGTGAGGGTGGTGATGACCGCGTTCCCGTTGATCGTCGCGCATCAGAGTATGTATTTGCTTGAGACATATCCTTTTCTATCTCGATCCGTTGATGTCTTGATGGTGCCCTGATGATTGTTTAATTTTTAGCGCACCTCCACTGTTCGTCATAATCCACCAAAAATAGGCAGTCACTAGGGATGCCTTCACCCCTCGCTCCCACCGCCGCCATGGTTCGAAAAACGGCACTTTGGACGACGACGAACGGTGGATCCCGAAGTTAATGAGATCGGAAGAAAGATTCATGCGACCTCACTAGCTGAGTCCAACCCATGTCGCCAGGCTGAACGAGGCTGACGCAACAGCAGAAGATCGGACGGCCACAAGCGCCTCATAGCTTAGGTAGCACAACGGACGCAGCTCGCTACGAGGTAGCCGAAAAATACAGGTGTAAACAATCAGCATCTGCGGTCCATCTCGCGAGCAACTGTGACACCATTTTCCTGCTCGGCCTGGCCTTCCGAGACTCCTGATCAGCGTTTCGACTCGGCCCGGGATGGGGGGGAAGAAGCTCGAGGTGGAGTCGTTACCCCGGATCGGGCTTGCCGCCGCGGGTCAGGGTCAAGCTCCCAAGACAGTCCGGGGTCTACATGAACACCCATCCCATCTCATCGTCCGCCTACCCTACGGATCCTGGCCCTGCCGTTCAAAGCAATGGAGATATTCCATCCTGCCTAGGCAGTCCCTATCAGCCCACGAACTTCGGGCCAGAGCTCCTGAGCTTCAGGCAGCACGGAAGGAATACCTACCTATTGCGCTGGAGCTCAAGGTCAATTCTCCGCTCGGGACCTGCAGCGGACATTTCCCACATCTGCAGGGACGGCTTGGCGTGCATGTTTCCATGCCGACTTTAAACACACCACACGCCTCAAGTGCTCACTCCGCCAGAGAAATAAACGCGGACGTAGGCGTTCAATAGTTCCTCCTACCTAACCCACACCTCTATCGCAGTGGCCTTGGAAGCATCGCCAACTTTCCCAAGTGGGAAACTCGTCCATTCCTCCCACCTCCCCACGCATGAACGCATTGAGCGCAATCTCTTGTGATCAGCGATATCCAACCGCTGAATCAGCCCTTACAGATGGTGTCTTCTCACTACGGGAAGAACAACCTCTCGGTTCCACCGTGCTGGTCTCTCTCTTTTTTTTTTTGCCCTCCCGGTCCTGGGGTGTACGATCGTCCTTCGTCCCGCACCGCATGTAGACAGTCTTTAGCCCTCAACCTCGGATCACACTTGTGTGGGCAATCATACGGGCATCGCTTCACTATATTGCGTCACCTCTCGCAAGCTTTGCCTTCCGGTCGGTTCGTAAGGTGAGCGGTAGGTCGGATGATCCAGCTTGGCAAAGAAAGCAGTCGGGCAATGGGAGGAGTGTGTGGTGTATAGCTAGGTAGTTGTCCCGAGGCCGTGGGGTTGGCAATGAGGCAGGTGATGTTTTGTCTTCTTTCTGGGCTGAGCCTTCGATCTTTTACAAAGCCCACCTAATCCTCCCACGCTTTACCCTAACCCTGTATTTCAGTGACCTGTACTCAGCTTATCTTATCCATCTTATCGTAGCGCAGAACCTGGAAAGCTTGCATCTCGCATGTCTCCACACAGCACCATCAAATTGGCGGGATCTTTGTGAACAAATTCACATCATCGAGCTCGACGAGTGCAACGAAGTCCCACGCCGGAAGCCGTGAGCACATGGCTAGACCTTCCGGGGGCAGTAGATAAATAACATTGTTGTAGCAATTGATGGTTGTGTGCCGCATGTCGACACTGATTGGGCGGGAGGGCATCGGTATAATTCTCTTACGCCGTGCGACATCTTACTTACCTCCTCAACTTCAACATGGTATCATTGATGTGATCCTAGGTTGTCTTGAAATCAAGTTTCCAGACCTGCCGTAAACCTTTTTTTTTACTTCCCTTTTTTTCACTCGACAAGTGCTTGTACACAATGTCGCGCGAACCGCCTTTTGATGGGCCCCTGCAACAGCCGCGCGACTTCGCAACAGACCCACCGGCTGCTCCTCCAGATCTTGACACCGCTGTTGACACCACCAGCCACCGCGTTCGATATAACCCCAACATCGATACCAGCATTGCGGAAAAAGCTGCCCCCACGAACGATGCCGCGACCAGCCCGAGAAAGGCACCCGCCCGCGCAGATACCGGTGCGCCCTTCAGCCCCACCAGTCGACGGCGCACAACCCGGGCCGGCACATTTCGGACAGTTGACAACTTCGAAGACTTTGAACTCCGCCCGGGATGGCATCGTATGTTTACCTGAACACCCGCGACCATGTCGAACTTGTCCTGCTCCTCGACGCTTACCATACTCCTTTGCAGCCGGTTCGGAACCAGGGGTCGATCCACTCAAGCCAGATGGTGGCCACGCATCTATGCCTCAACTGAGCGCCCCATGCCAGATCACTATTGTCGACTTCTCCGAAGACAAGCTCTCGATTCAGAACAAGGACAACTCGTCTCTCGGCTCTTTCTTGGAGGTGCCACAACCAAAGTGGGCAAAATGTCGGTGGATCAATGTGAATGGCCTGAGCTGGGACGTTATCCAGCTGCTGGGGAAGCACAAGAGCCTTCATAAACTGGCCGTGGAAGATATTATGAACACGAGGAGCAGGACAAAGGCCGAGTGGTATCCAACACATGCCTTCATTGTCTTGACTCTTCAAAGGCTTGACGACACCTACAGGGACTCTGACGACGAGAGCTCTGATTCTGATGAGGCTGATGACACATCTAGCCATGCTAGTAATCGCAGCATCTTCAGTGGGAAAACTGGCAAGTATTCCCGGAAGCTCTTGAGGCGGTTGAAACGGACATTCCGTGCTGGGAAGTTCTCCTCAGACACCACATTAGAGGGTGGGAAGGACTGGCCCCAGGATGGCTCTGGGCCGTATCCCAGGGCTTCACGGTCTGAGTACCCAGAGGGCCCGACCAGAACCTTGCGAAGATACCACGCCGCACCAGACGATCCTATCGCAAGGTTTATGGACAGGAACTCAGCCCTGATCTCCAAAAACTACACGGTAGCCTGTGAGCAGGTCTCCATGTTCATCACGAACGACAACACCATAATTAGTTTCTTTGAAGAATCGGCTGAAGTGATAGAGGCACCCATCATCCAACGTCTCCAGACGAGTGATACAATCATCCGACAGTGCGTACACCTCCCGTTCTCATCGCTAGTGCTTGACTAACAGGCCTTGATTTCTAGCTCATGCGATGCGTCCATGGTGGGACACGCAGTACTGGATGGAATTATCGATCTTGCCATCCAGGTAGCGAGCTGCTATCGTGATGCTATCGGCGATATTGAACCCGAAGTGTTGACTCACCCCAACATCGGCCACACCAAAAAGCTGTACATCCTCACATCGGAGATCAATGCGCTGATTAGTTTCATCAATCCAATCACGACATTGATACAAGCCCTGCGTGATCACAAAACGGATATGGCGCTCGACAAAGCCATGGCCAAAATCCTGGACCCCAATCATGACCCCATCATCACCACGCTGACGTACACCTATCTCGGTGATGTCCTGGACCACTGCGTCCTCATCACAGATACTTTAAATAGGCTCAAGAGCTCCGCTGATGGGATGATAGGGCTGATTTTCAACACCATTTCAGCACATCAGAATGAATCCATGAAGCAATTGACCACAGCCACCATTATCTTCTTGCCGCTCACTTTCATCACGGGTTACTTCGGGCAAAACTTTGCTCCGTTCACCGTTTTAGAGCAAGATATTGGCTACTTGTGAGTGTTTCTCTCTCCGGTTTCGAGAGTCCATCTGTCAAGCAGGCTAACCAGTCTATTTGAAGCTGGAAAATCGCTGTCCCTGTCGTCTTTGCGACGATAATCCTTTTGCAGAGGGAAGCCATTGTCGACTATTGCAAGGCCATCTTCCAGCGTCGTTATCTCTGGGAGTTGAAGAAAAGGCGCTCGGATCGACGAAACAAGAAGCGGGTTTGAGTGTAGAGCGGGTCTGGTGTGTAAACACACGCAGCATGATCAGGAAGGATGCTTATGATACCCATATCTTACGCCGTTCAGGGCCAGAAGCGCTTCATAAACGTCACGATGTCGCTTGACTGGTGCTCTTCGTGAACTTGAGGATGAGGATACTGTATGTCTCTACTTTCATGTGGGCATGCTCAGATATTTCTGTCAGGTACTGATGTGTCCATCCGAACTCAGAACCTACAACTTCATCATCTCGTCGGCCCAGGACATGCTTTCTAGGAGGGAAAGAACGTCTCACGTCACTGCTTCTTGGCCAGACACTAGCTATATGCGGATTTCTTCTGCTCGCGACCTGCAATCTTCTTTTTGCTATCGCTTCTGGTCCATTTACTGCCTCTTCTCCCGCCCACACCTGATTTATCTGGCACTTTGATACCTTCTTCCTCTCTCATTCTTCTACATCTTCCCTTCCATCCTTCCACATCCTCCCTTCTCATCCTTCCACGCCCTCCCTCCTCTTCCTTACACCTTCATTTTCCTTCCATCCTCCTCTTCCTCACCCTCTCGTCCTTATAGCCTCACTTCTACATCGGCTCTTCCACGTCATCCTTTACCTTCTTCACTGCTGGCTCGCTTGACTTTTTATCGACCGTCCTCCAGTTCTTCACAATCTTACCAAGTCCCCGCCCGGTTTCCAGCCACTCTCACTACAAATTCGACTCTCTGCCTCTGATATCCGATATATCCTGCTCGAGTTCGCTCAACTATTCCGCGCCTTCCTTCTAACAGCTGATATCGAACAGCGCATCGCACCTTCCTCTATTTTCAACTAACCGACATTTCTACCTGACTTTTTCTACAAGTTCCCGACCACAATCTTTTCCCATCCTTTTCTTTTATCTTTTACTTCTTACTTGCACACAGGACAGGAGGCCTCGCCAGTTGTCGTTCACAAATAATTTACTCACTCATTTCTTTCATCTTCAGTCATCATCTTATTCAACATGGCTCTTGGGGATACACCTGAAATCGGCCAGCAGGCATATGGGACAGTTGAAAATTCCAACACGACTAACTTCCCGCCATCACACACCAAACTCACGTTTGCTCCAGTGGTTGACCCAGGTGCAGGCAGCGGGCCAAGAAAGGCCGGTAAAAAAGGCAAGAAGGCCAAAAAAAGCGACCCGGACCCTGACGGGCCCCCCAAGAATGCTAAGGAATACTGGCAGCAACACTATGCTCGTGCGTGCGAGAGCGGGTCGAATTTGAAGCGCGAGGCTGTTGAGGAGCCCTACGAGACTCCCTCCACCAAAATACAGCGCATTTCAGGCCCAGACGACAAATCTGAGGGGCTTATTCCAGTCAAGACTGAAGAGGCCGTTTCGGTCAAAGCTGAGGAGGGTGTTTCGGTCAAAGCCGGGGCGGATGTTTCGATCAAGGCTGAGGAACCTGGTTTCATCGAGATCGAGGCGCCTGTTTTCGTCAAGGCTGAGGGGCCAGGTCTCATCAAGACTGAGGAGGATACCGCATTTGACTACAAGATACCTTCACCAAGTAAAACGGCGGTCCAGGCTGCAGTCGACGAAGCCTTGCAAACAATTGAGGACAGGCTTGACAAGGGGGATATGCAGGCGTGCAAGGACTTTGAAGAGCTTCGTGAGGCCACGCTGTCATTTGGGGTCAATAACTGTAAGCCAGTGGAGGGAAAGTGGAAGCTCAAAGGCTTCAAAACACCACTTTACAATCACCAGGTACGTACATGCTTCTCACCCCTAACTCAGGATCAGCTCACCAATATCTCATGGATGTGACAGTTGATAGGGGTGAGATGGATGTGTTCCCGAGAGTTCCACCCCCGCGGGTCCAATGGAGGGATCCTCGCCGACGAAATGGGTCTCGGGAAGACAGTTCAGCTCCTGGCGTGCATGTCACAAAACCCGCCTAGTAGTCGCCGGGACAAAGCCCAAAAAACCCTCATCATTGCGCCAGAGAAGCTGTTGACGCAGTGGTATCGGGAGATATTTGATCATTGCGACGACAAAGGCCTGCGAGTGTTGGTTTACAAAAACGCCAATGCAATGGCCGATGATGAGTGCGCCAATAGTGATATCATGTAAGTGTCACGGAGTTGCCTTCCTGTGCGTTCTATGCTAATCAAGCATGAACGTTCAGAATCACGAATTATGCACAAGTTCAACGCCAAGCTAGCAAAGGGCTCGCCGAATGTGAGGAGTCGGAGGAGAGTGAGGATTCTTCAGATTTTCGAGAGACCTCCCTGAAGCAGAAACTGCACCGGCATGGCCCCCCGTTGTTTCGCATCAACTACCACCGCATCGTTCTAGATGAGGCCCATGCGATTAATAACAGGGAGAGCAGCACGTCCCTCGCCTGCAGATACCTCACAGGCAAATATCGCTGGGTTCTAACGGGAACCCCGCTGACCAACACCACAGCAGAGGTATTTCCCTACCTTGACTTCTTGGGCACCAAGTTCAAGAAGTACGATACCTTCGTTCAGGCTATGGGGGGCGTCAAGGGCAAGATGGGAGACATGGAAGAACTTCAGAAAACGCTATCGGAACTTACTTTGAGACGTCGTGTTGACACGCAACTGATGGGCGCACCCATTCTTCAGATTCCCAAGGCACATCCGGTTCAGGTTGTCACGGTTAACTTTTCGCCTTTTGAGATGGAAGCATACGGGAGAACAAACCGGAGACAGATGGCGTTGGAGGTACGGCGCCAAGCGTATCAAGACGCCGGTCAACCATATGATCCCGGACCAGAAAAGGGTACAATGCAAATGATTGTCGATCATCTCCAATTCTTCACCTCGCATCCAGCCCTTGTTGAGCCTGACTGGTACGAGGACCAGGAGAACCAAGACAAGTCTAGGCTGCCGGAGCCCAGTGAGGTCAAATGCAACTGCTTCTGCAGATATTGCCGGCGAGTCGTGACCCCGGCCTCTAAATTGGCTGATGTAAGCACCTGCTTTCATGGAACTTTCATCCGTCCGTAATACTAATAAATCTATTCAGTGCGGCCACCCGTTCTGCGCCTCATGTTTCGGTAACCTCATAACCCGTCATCACAACAAGGAGAAAGCCTGTTGCCCGAGCTGCAACAAGCCAGTCGGTTCTGGTAGATCAGGCAAGGGCAGCTGTCCGAGTCATCAGGGCATGCCTATCCTGCCTCGCGATAACGGGCACACTTACCGTCACTTTGGTGACGATGACAATGGGTTTCAGCCACGGTTCAGTAAGCATCAAGAAACCACAGGGAAAGGGACGAAAAAGAAGGCACGCAGAGCGAAGTCTGGCAAGAAGAAGAGGCATCCATCGAGGAGAAGAAAAGCAGCCAAGACGAATAATAAGGGGGGAAAGCAGAAGAGACAAACTGTCCAAACAGTGCAGCAAACACGCGCCAACACGCTCAATTTCATGAAGGGCGTCGACTCCCATCCTTGGGATCCGGTGCCGCACAGCACTAAAACGAAGGCCACACTTGACCTAATCGACGGATGGCAATCTGAAGCGCCAGAGGATAAGATTATCATCTTTGTGCAATGGATCCCGATGCTCTCGATTTTGGGCCGCATGCTTACACAGAGCGGATACCGGTTTGTGTACTTCTGGGGCGACCTGGACCAGAACGACCAAGAGCAGTCTCTAAAGACCTTTAGGAAGGTCCCGGCCGTGAAGATCATGCTGGCATCTATTACCTGCACCGCACACGGTCTGAACCTCACGGTGGCGAACCGGGCCATCATGTATGACCACTGGTGGAATGTCTGTCGCCAGCAGCAAGCCTTCGGAAGAGTCCACCGTATTGGACAAACCAAGGAAGTGCATACGGCCAAGATTGTGGTTGGAGGCTCTGTGGATGAGAGGATTATTCAAATTCAGCAGGATAAGGAGACTGCTATTTCTGGGGTTATGGATGGCATGGACGAGATCAAGAAGCGGCCAATCTCGATGGCTAAGGAGATCTTGGGGTTGGGGGATCTTTCAGACTCTATCGATGAAAATGCTGACATAGATGAGGACGAGGATTACTACGAGGATAGCGATGACGAGGATGATGATGAGGAGGAGACTGATAGCGAGAGCGAATCCACTAGTGATGAGAGTGGCAGTGAGAGTGGCTCCGGTAGGGGCAGCTATGATGATGACGAGGATGATGGAGAGCACTCGGGGTCGAAGTCGGATTAGTTTGCTTATTCTTGCTTGAGGAAGATTTGACATTAAATATTGGCTTTCTTGGCAGGGGAAAATAGTCTGGGATGGTTAGTGGCCGGTTGGTGGGACAGGAGTATCATAACTGCTGTCCCTGAAATCTGATGAGATTTAACAAGGCCAACACTTCGTTCAATTATAGTTTCCAAAATTCAATATTTCGAGGTGATCGACCACTTTTTGATTGCGGGTGCTCATCATGTTGTGCGCACCGGGTGGAAATAAAGAGAGGAGCACCGTATTCAGTTGCATCCATGATCGATGTTCTACGCAAAGGAGAGGTCGCGAAAGGAGTGGAAGGCGCTGTTTAGCAACGTGGACGAAAGACTGATGATCACAAACGTCATTGGCAGGCCGAAAATGCGCATGGGTTGTTCGATTGAGGTTAGATTGATGTAGTTTGATTACCTACAGAGCTCCTTCTTATTTCACCTGATGCACACAATAAAAATTGTGGGCCGCCTGCAATCAAGGCGAGTGGTCGCCCACCCTGTCCCTTGCCAGACCAAGAGCCTCCTTCTCGTCTTCATCCAGAAGACCCAAAGCCTGTCGACGAGTCGGGGCCTTTGAGTCGAAGTAGGGCTTTTCGGCAAGCGATGTGACACGAGTGCCGTGTCTTGAATACTTTCCTTCGTAATCCCAACTGGCGCTATGGATCGTAATTCTAACGTTATTTGCAGGTTAGTCAATTTGCTTTCCCTCCTCTTCTTCAATCTGTCGTCGCTGACTCACCTGTTGTCCCACAGAGCACTGGTCCCGGCGGTCCATCGGAATCGGACCTGGATATCCGCGTTCTTCTCATACACGTCATGCAGATAATTCAAGATCAAGTCGCTCTCAGCTTTATCCAATCCAACTATCCTCGTCGTCATCGCGCGGTTCACCCAGAGTGCTTTCCAGCCTGTTGCAGGGTGCACACGAACAAGAGGATGGACCCTTTCGACGAACTTTGGACCGGCACTCGGATTCTCGCGGTCAAGATAGGCATGTGCGGAGCGATACACAGCTTGTTTTCCATCAATGAACTTGCGGAATTCGGGGGATAATTTCTCATAAGCACCGTATCCCGAGGCCCAGAGCGTGTCCCCCCCAACCGGAGGCACAGTGTCGTTGTGGAGGTGGGTAATGCCTGCCGGCTGTCGTTCATGGACAAGATCGGTGTGCCATCGAGACGCTCCTCCTGGGTTACGAAAGTTGGCGGGCAAATCTTGGGCCTGGAGGTCTGGCCAGATGACAGTCACGCCCGGGACGCCAGGCACTTGTGGGACCTGGGGCTGCATCACGACTGAGTCAGCTCATTGCTACTGGGGGTGGGATAGCATCACATACATGCACTTCAACCTCACCAAACCATTCTCCTAGCTCCCTCTGTTGTTGTGGGGAAATATCTTGGTCTCTGAGAAACACAACACTGCGTTCCGCGATCAAAAGAGCAAGCTCGTCACGTTGCTCGGGTGTCAGGTCCTTCAACTGGAGACCCTCAATCTCAGTACCGATATGGGCTGTCAGGTCGGTCACCTTGCTTGCCGCCGAAAACAGATTCTTTTTGGACTTGTCAGCTCTGGCCCCTGCATCTTCATGGATACGCTCAGCACTGCGGAGTTGGTAGACATCCTGGAGATACAAGGGTACTAGTGGACGGTATGGATATCCGTTGGTCAGGTCTACTCCAGACCTGATCAGCCGTTGCCGGGCTGGCTCTGGGAGGGGCAAGGTGTCTTTCTTGGGCCCGACTGTGTCGACGATTGATGCCTCGATTGCAGCAGACGCCATGGTCAAGATGCTGACAAGAAAATGTATGATGTTTCAAGCTCTCGAAGACACCTGTTTTGGGGTCGTCCATGAGAGGGTTCAGCAGCAGATATGGTTTGGATTTACAACAACATCGCTCACATGCCCCCCACTCGTCAAGGAAACCGGCATTACCAAGCATTCATATCAACACCGCTTCTGCAAAGCGGTTATCAATGATCCAATATGTTTACCGGATTGCGAGATCACTACAATATGTCGTGGAAGTGAGGGGCACTGCACATCACCGGGTATAAGATACCGGTTGCATCTTTGAAAACCACATCACCGGACCTATCAGTCCGTTCGATGACGGGGAATGACGGATGCGTTTGTGATGCCATGTCTGCACAAATTGTGTGCTTGGCACTCACCATAATACGGGTACATTTGATTTCAGGGCTTGTCACGGTATCAAAATTGCAGGCTACCACAGAGCTGGTCGTATGCCCAAGTCCGCAGTTCTGGCAGTTTTCAAAGCCATTCCATCCGATCTATTCTCTTGTCCCATGACTCACCCAATGTCTTGTCAAAAGTAGAGATGAATGCATGTAGACTACCTAGAGAATGCCGATCAAATCGAAGAGTGATAAGGGATCTGGCACAAATTCAACATTGTCAATTCTTTCAATACAGCCCCTCAGAGCACACACCATTTTCGGAATCAACATTGATGTTTGCGCGATCAGCTACGCAATATGGCGTGATCCATGACGCGGGGGTTGGGCCACATCTGAGCTCGCAGAAAGGTATCGCATCTCCATATTTGGAGTCCACTAAGATACTGAGCTCGATACTTTTTTATATTTCCCTTCCTAATGTTGCTCAAAACAGTGATAGAGATTCACCATCAGGAACATGTCGGAACTTCGAAGTCAACCTTATCGGCAGACGATCGCAGTTATCGGAGCAGGTATCAGCGGCGTATGCACAGCTGCACACTTGCTAAAAGAAGGTCTCTCAGTGACGGTCTTCGAACGCTCAAGCATTGCCGGTGGAATCTGGCACTATGATGACCGCGTTCCCGGCGACCCACCATATCCTAGCAACACGCCGTCTCTTGGGGACTATGAGGTTTCTCAACGAGGTCAATTTTCCTATGTTACGCCTCCATCTGAGCAAAGGAACGAAACACCACAGAATCAAACCTTTCGGGTGGAAGCAAACAACTACCTTTCCGACCTCGAGGCGCACTTCTCACCACCCGGCCCGTGTTACCGAGGCCTACGCAATAACGTCCCGACATACCTCATGGAAAGTAGTCTGGGCCAGTGGCCCGAGGGTACCGAACCCGTAGTTGGTCAAAGAGATGTTGAAAATTACGTCCAAGGCCTGGCAGAAGTGCATGACGTCAATAACCAGACTCTATTTCACACCCGAGTAGATGAGGTCAAGAAGACACACGATGGGTCCAAGTGGGAGTTGCGATCAGTGACGTTGGAGAAAGAAGAGCTTGGTGTTCGGTTCACTGAAAGATTACATCTATTTGATCGAGTTGTCGTGGCTTCGGGGCATTATAACATGCCACGGATTCCTGACATTACTGGACTCAAGGAATGGAAAACAAGGTTTCCCGCCAGGATCATTCATTCAAAGCAGTATCGAAACCCACAGAGGTATCGGGACCAGAATGTGGTGGTTCTTGGTGCTGGTGTGTCTGCTTTGGATATCTGCCGGGAGCTGGATGGAGTTGTAAACAAAGTCTACCAGAGTGCCCGTGGAGGACAGTTTGACCTCCCAGTCTCACTGCTGCCGTCATCTACGAGACGAGTGCCGGAAATAGCTAGCTTTATTCTCGATAACGACGAAAGACACCAGCACTTTCCGGAAGATGGCCAGCATATTCCCGGGAAGATCGCTTTGAAGGACGGCCAGGTACTCGACAAGATTCACCACGTGGTCATTGCAACAGGATATATAACATCTTACCCTTTCCTCCCGCATCTCCATTCCGACACGGCACCAATCACAGAACCAGGGGAATATCTGGTGGTGACATCGGACGGCAACATGGCGCATAACTTGCACAAAGATATCTTCTACATCCCCGACCCAACCTTGGCTTTTGTAGGCGTACCTTATCATGTGGTCACGTTTTCGCTTTTTGATTTTCAGGCCCAGGCGGTGGCAAGAGTGTTTGCTGGGAGAGCAAAGCTTCCAAGTCAAAAATTGATGAGACACGAGTACGAGAGAAGGGTGCTGGAGAAAGGCCTCGGAAGAGGGTTCCACTCGCTGCATCAAGAGGGAAAGGAGTTGGCGTATGTAAGGGAGCTGGTTGAATGGGTCAACGAAGGTGATGTTCATGGAGAGGGGCGGAATGACTGCAACATGAAGGGGCATACCGAGGAGTGGCTGGCGGGATATTATGAGATGAAGGCAAAGACTAGAGGGTTGTTTCCAGGGAGGGGAATTAAATCTGTGGCGGAAGATACTACACTACGCAACTGAGGTTGCGACATCTCGAGACTTCTCGGGTACGGTACCCGTGACGCAAACGGGCATTTCTTGGAGGTTCTCCCATCTGGCTTCTTCTAGAGTCTGGTGGTGCTCTTCCATCGTCTTCTAGCATCTTCATCACACTCTCAGTCTGTGGCCCAAAGTGGGACCGAACAGATGGCAACCGGGCACTGACGTCACCCGAAAGTCGCGAGAATCAGATGGGACAGTCCGCCCATAGAGGCTCTCGTTTCTTTGCCTTATTACTCATGCGCAAATGAGTTGTTGTTGAGGAAAATAAAGTCATTGGATAGAGGGGCTTCTGGAGAGCAACCGTATGTAAAACTTTTTCTGAGAAAATTCATTGTTGCAAAGATATTGCCGCAGAGAGTCACGAAATGCCCCAAAAGCTGGGTGATATGTCCTTTTCCATCCGCGTGTTACGCGCAACAGGTCCAAATTCTACTTCAGTAGTATCTTTGAATCCTTCTTTTCTCGCGCTATAACTTGACGTGGAGTGTTTGACGGAGGTCTATCACGCTATCAAGCAATTCGATGAAGAAGGTGAGATCCCATCTGCTTTCCTGGGGGTCCTTCTCCGCAGGGGGCGTGCTTCTACCTTGAGCACACTCCTATCCCAAAGCTTCCTAACTACACCCCCAGATACTTTGCAGTTCCCAAACATTAAAAGAAGATCAACAGTCCATCGCACTCGAAATCCCTTACAAAAACTAATCTCTGGCATCATCAGCACTGGCTTTACCTCCGCACATTTTTTACTGAAAGAAAGGAGCAGTGCATCACCAGATCAAGACCAACATACCAGTCCACCCCCATCAAAAGTGACCTTCAACCATCACATGCCAAATCACACTGACACATGCAAATAGCTACGTAATGGCTACGCACTTGACCATTTCAGGCGGGCTGATTGTGTTTGCCCCAGAGGTGCCCCCCAATGATGTACTTAACAAACCCTTCAGTCCCCAAATTTTGGCAGAAACTTTTCTTCTTCTTTTTCTTTTCATCGAACTGCAGAAGCCAGCCAGTCTACAAGCATAAAGGCACGTATAATTCACCCCATTTTGTTGTGAACAAACACATACTTCACTAACCAACACAACAGGCACTCTTGCTCGCTCGCTCCGCTGCTGTGGTAAGCTTTTGTTCGTCCACGCCTTCTTGATTTCGCTTGCTGACCAGGCTCTTGCAGATTTGTGTGATTGCTTACCGCTCGCTCGTAATTTTGTGTGACAGCTTGTCACTCGCTGGTGAATTGTTTGTGGTAAGTTTTCGCTCGCTCACTCTTGTTGACCTCGTCTGCTAATGCTGCTCTTTTTCACAGCTGTGCTTGCACACGCTCGCTCGATCCGTTCGCTCGCCCCACGCCACTCATTCATCTTTTTTTCTTTTTTCTTTTTTTCTCGACAATGGCTCGCAGTGCCATACCTTCCACCACCCGGCCCCGGTACGTCGTCCGTCCGGCACCTCCCGGACCTCCCGACCCTGCGATCCGGGTGCAGGCCTGGCTGGATCGTGTGGTCCGCAAGATGAAGGACGGGGTCCTTCCCATTTCGTCGGTACGTCGAGCCCTGGACGCATCAATGCTCGGTCCTCCCCAGCGGCGCAAATGGGCCCCAGCTCGCCCATTCCTTCTGGCCAGTTCCGAGGATGGCGGCATCTTCGGAGTGAAGCGCAATCCGGAATTTTCTCCTCCTCGTCTTCCTCGCCCGATTCCTCGTCCTCCTCCTTGTTCTCCGATAGCGGCGACGACGACAAGCCCTCCTCCCCCGACAAGTCCTCCTCCGACGATGACGACGATGACGAGTGCTCTTCCTCGTCCTCCATCTTCCGATGCTCTTGTTCCGGTCGTGTTTGTTCCGGTCGTGTTCGTTCCCGTGGTGTTGGTTCCGGTCGTGTTCGCTCCGGCTGTGCCCGCTCCGGTTGTCTTCGCCCCGGTCGTTTTCGTTCCGGTCGTCTTCGCCCCGGTCTTCTTCGCTCCTTGGACTCCGTTGTGAAGAGTGGCGACGTTCTTTTTGGTTTGTTTCTGTGCTTTCATTTCGTTTGCTGACTCTGCTTCAGTCATTTTTTGTGATGGTGTGTTGTGCGTGCTTTGCTTTGTCTGTGTTCTGTTGAAGCCCCCCCAGCGTTCCCCCAGCCCCCCAGCCCCCAGCGTGTTTTGTGTGTTTTGTTTGGCGTGTTTTGTGATGTGTGTTCCACCCAGCTGCCATCTATTATCTCATCTACTATTTATTGCCATTTACGGGCGGCGAAGTCGGACTCTGCACCTCCTCGTGGTGTCGCCTGGTAACCTGTTGCAAGTGCACAGGGCCAACGAAGAGACGCAGATGTAGCTATTAGAATCAAAAATGCCAACTTTGATTTCATCGGTTCCTTCAGTATTGTCGTGATATTCATGCTGGTTTGTTCATGTTTCCATGCCACTTGTCCATGATTGACCTCCTCTATCAACCAACAAAACAATGATCGCATCACGTTCCAGTTCCATACGAATAATTTCATGTCAGACAAACCGCGATAGGTACGAGCTAGTAGTTGAAGACGAAAATGCTTTTTGAAAGCGTGAGAAAAGCATGTTTCAGGAAAGCCAGAGGGGTTTGTAACATTGGGAACTGAGGAAAAGGCTCAAGTATGTCATAAGATGTGATCATAATTGAATGTTGAAGAATCAACAGATCGGGTGTTGTGGTGGCCAGGTGCATTCAGGGGTAATTCAGGGGCTACTATCACAAAACAAGTAAACAAAAAAGCGCAGGGTTAGGGTTATTCTCACTGTCCCTTGTTCAACGCACGTCAAAATTTCTATTCCTCGAGATAAGACTAAATTCATTGTTTCTCCCCATGCATGATATTCTTTTCTTGTAAAACTTCTCTCCTAGACAGTTCTTACTTCTCTAATCTCACAAGTAGCTGCCCTCTAAGTATACTGCCAAGCAGCCGCCCCCTGGCCGGGGTAAGGAGTGACCTTGAGGTTGATGGGAGTGCAGTAGTTAAGGCTCTCGGCGTTTGTTGAGTTTCTACCATACAAAGTCCACTCGGGCCCAGCAGGACCCGAAGCCCTCGGAGGACAAGCGACCCAACCCCAACCGTTGCCATTGAGGTTGATGAACCCACCGCCCTGGTAGGCGGCAAAGCCAGTCGAGGTGCTGCCGAACGGCATGTATGCCGAATGAGCTTGGGTGTATCCGACATTCCAGTCCGGCGTCAGATAGACCTGTTGACCGCCGGGCACCATTGTGTTCATACCAGCTCCGCCGAAGCCGCCCGCCACAATCGATGTGACGTTGCCGGGTGGGCAGTTGGGGTCGACGACAGAAGGGCAGTAGCTCTTGGTTTCTCCTCCAAGCCACAGACGAAGCCCTTGGGCGGTGACGGGCTTGCCGTCAAGCTGGGGGAGCGCCGGGTTTGAGACGGTGAGAGTAAAGGCAGACTCGGCGGGCGGGAGAAGACTAAGGATGTTATTGTTGCAGGTGTACATGAACTTGCTGTAACAGGCTCCATTGCAATAAGATAGGCCTTCACCGGCTGTGACGGGGCAGAGAAATTGGTTCTCCCAGCATACGTACTGAACACAGATCTGAGTTAGTGTGACGCCGTGCGAGGTGATCTGGAAGCTGTGCAATGATTTTGTAGGAGATAAAATCAGGGGTAGGTGGTACAAGCCTGGTTGGTTTGTAGAGGTGGTCACTTACGTTGGTAGGGTCATATTGTGCTGGTCCACATTGCTCCAGAGCACCCAGAACTCGATGGCCTAGGCCAATGAGGACGGCAGCAGTCAGGCTAAACCGAGTCATTTCTGCTATCGATAGGAATATTGTGATGATTGTATCCGAGTGCAAGTGCAAGGCCTTTCAAGCGATAACTGCAGAGTCCTAGGTTCTTGGAAGTGATGGTTGAATGGGAAAGATTCAAGAGGTGTGTTTTCGGAGTGAAAGCCACAGCATTTATATTCCGTTGACGATGCCATGGCACTCGACCCCATGCCTCCTCGTACAAACCTGAGCGGGTAACTGACATGGGTTGCAGACTCTCTTTACATGTAGCATCTCGTATTGCTGCCGTCACTTGTCTGCTGATTAGGCAAGGTCTTGTATCCAGGATGGTTTACTGCGCGATGTCTTCCGAGTCAGTTCTGATCAGGTGGACACCAGTTTGTGCCAATGTTACCAAGGAAGTTTACCTTTATCTGCGTGAGGGAGGGATATGGACGGTTCTGTGGAGTACAAGGTGCAACTCTGACTGGCCCGGCCAAGCATCTGGCCGATCTGAGTGTGTAAGAGTGTAGCACCCCAGCCACGCCAAACGCAGGAATAACAGTGCCGATGAAAAAAGATAGCGAGCTCTATATGCGGGGTATACATGTCAATGATGGTTGCCAAGACCCAGCACACCTGACTTCCATGTTTATAGACCTCGTATTCAGAGTGTCGGATGGGCTGGCTAAATCCATTACTCCATCCGGACTATCCCCGCGCTCAGCAACTGCTGGGCCGCCCGGCTTCGGCTGACTGCGGAAACGCCGGTGTTCGTGTCTTTCGAAGTTGTATTCAGCTTTCTTGTCTCCTGTCACTTGTGTCAATACGGGACACCCGAACAGTCCTGGAGGAAGGTTTGTATAACCTTGGGGTTAGGTACTTACACGGGCATGTCTGATGCAGCTGAGATGTCGCCGCCTCGTGTTTTATTCCTGTTCATCGTGAACTTCGTATCAAGAATTATATTGTTGTCCTGCACAGACCCTATCCCGCTGCCTAGGTAATATGGCAAGCTCAACCGACTCTATGCAATCATACGATCTGCTTGTGCACAACTCGTAATCTTGACTGCGACTCATGATCCCATTTTAGTCTTCTGGTCCATTTAAGGCACACCCTACACACAAGATTGCGATAATGTAAATACACTTCAAGGAGAGCCAGAGATCAAATGGTCTTGAAAAAGGAGACACCAGGTACTTGAGGATGATTGTTGATGAAGGCGCGTTCCCGGCCTAGGGCACTTTCTGTTTTTCTTTCTCAGCAAGGTTGAGTTGTCAAGAAAACGCATACTATTTACTCAACTATGCGTCAACGCCTCTCGAACATTTCAGGTTGCCTCCCGTTATATCGAGGATTCACTGACTACCTATTTTCAAGGACCTCACATATCGCGCGAAGCGTATGTACAACCGGGCAAATTCTGTTTCGCAACTTTCGTCCACAGCACGCCCGCATAATTGATAGACGTATGGGATATGGCAGGTAGTCTCGCGCTATGTATGCCTTTGTATACTTGTTGGGCCCCTGTTAAAAACAGTTTGATATGCACCTGAGCCGTGTGTATGGCTTATACGTCTCGAGTTGGGTGTGCATATTGTGTTGTCAGGTGGATAAAACTACCTCACTGCAAAATTATATTGCGCTAAGTCCAGCGCAATGATCTCCATATATAACAGTGACTTGTGTCTCTACCGTTGTAGTTTGTCAAGGTTATCTGTGCCAAGAATCATACCGCAGCAGATACTACGTACCTAGATAGTTTCGCAGAGCGAAACATAGCTCAACCTAGAACTTTGCTATCACTGATAAAGATTGGATTCTCGGCACAATTTTATCCAACTCTTGTCGTTGATATATTAATGTCCGACTGCCATCATCACTGCCCCGCAAGTGCCGGCTTCTCCGCACTTCACGGCACCCTTTCGGGTGCCAATTCCGAGTTTAGGGGTTTATTTTGTTGGAGTATATCCGCATAATGCGGAGTATCTTGCTCGAGGCTAATAAAATTCATGCGCGCTCTTCTCTTCATGTGGCTTTCTCTCACCATGAACGGTGAATCTGAACGACATCCACATTTCAGTTCCAAAATACCAAGAAATGGCACCTCACAGCCCAACTACATCGAATAATGGGGGAGTCTCTGAGAGAACCAGTACTCTTTCCCAGCCTCAGTTTCTTTTCATCAACGGCAAATACATCCTCAGCTCAGACAATGAAACTTTCCCAGTCAGAAACCCAATAACGGGCAGCGTCCTCTACAACTGTGCTTCTGCTTCGAAGGTTGATTACGAAACCGCCATCGAGAATGCACACTCGGCCTACCAGACGTGGTCACAGACAGGGCCTTCAGCAAGGAGACGCATCTTCCTCAAGGCGGCCGACATTATGGAATCGTACATCACAGGGGACGCTCCAGAGTTCATGTCCCAGGAGGTGTCTGCCACTATGCATTGGGTCAAAATCAACGTCTTTGCCACCGCGGGCCTTTTTCGCGAAACCGCGAGCCTGGCCACTCAAATCAGAGGAGAGATAGTCCCAGCTGACAGGCCCGGAACGACAATTTGGGTGGAAAGGCAGCCGGTGGGCGTGGTGTTTGCGATTTCACCATGGAATGCTCCGGTTGGTTGACTCCTCTTTTCTTCGTCTCTTTGTCGTTTTATTTTCATGACCCAGAGAGCTAATTATTTCTGTACAGATCAACCTCACCGCAAGAGCAATTGCCGTCCCATTGCTCTGCGGCAATACGGTAGTCCTCAAACCATCCGAGTTCAGCCCAAAAAGTCAGGATTTGGCCATACGGGCGTTGACTGCCGCGGGCCTACCACCAGGATGCGTCAACGTTTTGCCCACGAGCGCGGAACGGACGCCTGAGGTGACCGAATTGGCGGTCAAGCACCCCAAGGTTCTTCGAGTCAACTTCACGGGAAGCGACAGAGTGGGGAGGATCATCGCTGGCTGGGCGGCCACCTGCCTAAAACAATGTGTCTTGGAACTCGGCGGCAAGGCCCCTGTTATTGTCTTTGAGGATGCCAACATTGACGATGCGGTCGAGGCGGTGGTGTTTGGGGCCTTGGCTTTTAGTGGACAGGTGTGCATGTCGACCGAGCGAGTGATATTGCACAAGTCAATCAGCAGGGAGTTCAAAGAGAAACTGCTGAAGAAGGTGGAATCCATCAAGACCGGCAATCACTTGGAGGACCCGGCAGTTTCGATATCTGGATTGTTCACGTCGGCTCATGCAAAACGAGTGATGAGCTTGGTCAAGAGTGCGGTAGACGGTGGTGCGAAACTGCTTGCTGGTGACCTCCAAGTCACTGGCCCGAGAGGTACCATTATTCGACCTCATATTCTTGAACATGTCAGCACAAATATGGATATTGCACACGTCGAGACATTTGGGCCTGTCATGTTACTGTCCGAGTTCGAAACGGACGACGAGGCGGTGGCCTCAGCAAATGACAGCGACTTTTCTTTATGTGGGAGTGTCTTCTCAAAAGATACAATGAGGGCCTTGGACATCTCCAAGCGGCTCAGGTTAGGGGCATGTCACATCAACGGGCCGAGCTTATATGTGGAATCCACGCTGCCACAGGGAGGGACAGGGGGTGGCAGTGGATATGGACGCTTTGGTGGAATGGCTGGAGTCGAGGCATTCACTGAGAAAAAGATAATCACTGTTGTCAAACCGGGCCTGAAATTACCCCTTTGAAGTCAGGCTCGGATCCAGCTATTCGTTGGTGAGGATCAAGATGATCTTACATCAATATGCTTCCTGTTTCTTGTCACCTTTTGGCAGAGGATCAGGACATAATGGCGAGAAACCTAGGCTTTGTTCATAAACATATCATTATTTCCATCCTCCCAGTGAGCCACCATCCTTCTTGCATGACTTTTTTACAGACTGACAAACACCCAAGGTTTGCCCACTTAATTATTAAGCATGAAAAACCCCAAACCCGAAAGTACGAAGCGCCTTGAAGAAACACCCCCTATGTGCAGTACAAATTACCATGCTTTTTCCCTTACTACCCGCTTGCTCTGATACATCCTCCTCGACATTTGATCAGCCTATGCAAAGTTATCCTGTCTGTCCACCCAGATATCTTCCAACTCGTTGAAACTGGAGAAGTGGATCGGGCGGTGTTGATCGCTGTAAAACGGCGCAGGTGTATCCAGCTTAACATGGACCGGTTTCTTCTCCAGGCCGCCAAAGGCACTACCCATGAAGCTGTAATTCCACTTCCCTGATTCAGGCACTAGAAAGAAGCCCCTGAACTTTTCACTCAACAGTAACTGCCTCTTCTCGCCCATGGTTGTGGTAAACCCCTGGGGCTGGTCGCTGCCGACATCCTTATTCTCTGCACCCCACTTGTAGCCCTGCGGCGTGAGCGCCCAGGCTGACAGTGAGACACTGCCCGGTGTAAAGGACACTGCCACAGTTAGGGTGCTCTCCTTGCTCCACGATGGGTGGGCATCAAGCAATCGGGCATGATCGGTAACATCCATGGCCGACATATAAGGAAGCTCATTACCAGATGTCGTGTGAATAATGCCGAGAGGCTCCATTCCTTTGAGCATGTCATGTTGAGGGAGATGCTGAGGCAGCTGAACATTGCGCAAACCACCAATCTGGGGCACCATGACGATACAGCGAACCTCCTTGACTTGATCATTGTCGGCAGGCGAAGCTCCATACAAATAGCCCGCGACCTGCACTCGAAGATCGGCAATCTGGATAAACTTCTTGAGGATATTTTTGGGCATCACATATGTGATGTCATCCACATCATTGTCCAGTGGTGACACGTACATATTGTTCGCCCTTGTCCGCAAATTCGACGTGGCAATAGCCCTCGTGCGCCACTCGGTCTTGGACGCAAATGTCTGCTGTTCAAACTGCGATGTTGTCGTGACGATAATCTCCTCCCCATGCACATTTTGAGTCTTGGTTGTGACAGCAGTAAGTTGCTGCTGCTCCTGTTGCTGCTTTTCAATCTCGGCAGCTTGTTGTCTCTGGAGAGAGGGGGCCGAAATTTCCATACCCAAGATGATGTCGCGTACTTCACTACTTGTCAAACTGGAGACATTGACATTATTCTTCTTCCCGTAGTCATTCAGGATCAGATCACGAAGCTGCGTTTCGACCTTGATCCAGTCCTCATCCGAGAGGGAGGGCCAGATATGATGATCTTGAGTGATGACAGTCTTGTCGGGACGCAATATCAACTTCGTCTTATCCTGGTTGACGTGCAGGGCACGGAGAATGAGAATAAGACGAGAGAATGCTGTGTATGAAGAAATGCTCTTCAGCCACTCATCGTAGAGGTTGAAAAGAACCATTTGAGGCTCGGTGGCACGCAAAATCATGTCGCCAAGCTTCTCCACCTTCATGGCAGCCTGGAAGGGAAGCTGGAGCTCAGAAGCGCGAATCGAGATATTGGGGAAGTCCAGGAGATTGACCTCCAGAGGATCCAAAAGACCCTTCCGCGTGACAATGAGCTGCTTGGGCTGCTCTTCCACTGGAAGGGATCTGATCAATGCTGCCACTTCTTCAGCCGTTTTCCATTTCGCCAACTGGCCCAGGCGCTTCTGCCCTGCCCAGACGCTGGTGTGGATAATCTTCAAGAACAGCTGCCCAGTCCGAGGGTTGAAGATAAAGATGGCACCGTTGATGGGCTTCGTGGTCAGGTTGCCCTCGAAGGTCTTGTGGATCGTCACACGGTACACATTTGTGTCGTCAATGAAGAGCTGAGTCTGATTACTGAATAGCTCGGAATAATTTTGCGAGTTGAGGAACTCTTGGTTGCTCTCGGAGGCATACAGCTGAAGACCTTTGCGGATACGCTCACGCAACACATAAAGAGCAGGATTGGCCTTCATGATCTTGGACATGGCTTGCTGAACCAGCGTTTTCAGGCCTGGGAAGTACTGGCCGTAAGCAGAATAGAGGTTGTAGGCAAGGTCGATACCAATCATGAGGCCGGTAGGCGATGGGTACAAGCTCATGCTATCGGTGGTGTAATCCAGATACTTGGCCCTGACATATCTTTCAATATCATGGGAGTCGTAGTCGCCGTAGCGCAGCTGAACGTCAATCCAGAACTTGTTTGTCGTGGTTGCCTCGATGACATCTTTGTTGTCGAACAGGAGGGACGGTCGCGTAACATTCCACTTGTGGCTGGCAAACAGCTGGATGTCTGCGCAGGAACTGTTCATCTTGTAGGATTTACGCGGGTGGATCGTCTCTTTCTGAACAGATTCAATGCTCAGAGCTTCCAGTTCCTGATCAAAGACCTGGCAGAGATCCATAACAACCGACTCGTGTATTTTCTGCCACAGATGGGCGCGGAAGATCTGGATCAAAGAGATCTTGAGGGTCGGGATCTTGCCGTGAAGGAAAATACCAGTCAAATCCAGTTGGACCTGGAAACCAACGTAAACATTTGCTCTGTTGATGGTTGGGCTCCACCAAAGAGTGAACCGACGGTTGGGGATTTGATTGAGACCGGACCGCTGGGCGTTTGTGAGCTTTTTGAACTTCATTGATCTGGGAAATAGTTAGTACACTGCATGCTGAGGTGTGGATTAGAGGGGGTTTACGCACTCTTCGAAACCGGAGGCCCGCTCCCAGAATAGACCCTCCCAAGAAGGGAAGCCTGTTGCCTTGAAAAGAGTATGCTCGAGAATCGTCTCAACACCTCCCAGTGCCTGAATGACATCGGTGCGATAGGCATTGAGGTTCCAAAGTTTGCCGTCGTGTCGCTGACTGGTCCACCAGAACGGATTGCTCTTCATCAACTGATAAATCTTGAACTCTGCCCGGGTGCGGAACCCCTTGTCGAAGCTCAGCGTGCTGCGGTCCTTTTGGAACAGCGTGTTGATGCGCGGCAGACCCCGATCCCAGCTGTCTTCTAGATCCTCCAAGGTCAGCCTCCTGTTTTGCTGGTTGGCCTCGAGCCTCTTCTGCGAATATTCCGTCCAGACGCGTTGGGAATCGATGAACTCGGCCTCCCAGGGAATGATGTAGCGGAAGATGTTAGGAATAAGGGTTTCCTCGTCGTGAGACATGCCGGCACGGTAATGAGTGACCCCGACATCGGTCTGCTTGGACCATCGCTTATCGCTCGTTGGGATCAAGATGTGAGACCCAGAGATCATACCCAGACCACCAAGCTCTTTGGGGGTATAAAATACAGCAGGCGGGAACCGCGACGGCATCTTTGAGTTGAGGCCAATCTTGACTCGGGTTTGGATCTTAGTCTCACACTTGACAATTGTGTCAAGTAGATTGACAGTCGAAACAGCAGCCTCGCGGTAGTACGTGAAGAGAGCGATCAAGGCGGTGTTCCACTTGTTGGCAATCTTGGTGAACGTGGTTGAGCCCGAGGACATGAGGATTTGGCGAATGCGGTTGTTGAACTTCTGAATGTCCTCCTCGGTAACCTGCAAAAAGGCGTGGGCGGTGCGCTCCTTGGTGGCGTTGTTCACCAGTGACCAAACGCTGTCCTTGACGGGAAACTCGTCATTCTGGTTGCGAATCTTGGGCAAAATGCGCACCTCGAAGCCGCACATTGAGAACAGGAGGTTTGGGTTGTCCTTGCTGTAGACACTTGCAAATGTGTCTTCCCACTCGATGGTCGTGACGGATCTTGGTAGTCGATTCTTCAGATCCCAAAAGACAGCCCTGCCGAGGTTGACATCGTGTCTCATCAAGCGCATGCGAGAATCTCTCGGCCAGCATTTCTTGCTCTTGTACCCGATGACATTCTCAAAATTTGGATCCGGTTGTTCGGTAAGAAACCGCTGGATGAGGTCGCGCGATTCGTCAGCCGTGAAGCGGAGAAAGACCCAAATTTTGTCAATGTATCTGGTGTACAGTCTAATGGGGTGTCTCGTCTCCGTGTCGCGATCCTGGAACTGGAGGAAATCGTTAGGGCTTTGAGGCGGGCCGGCAATCTCGCTGGCGCGCTGAGGCCCCAGGAGTAGAAGGTCGAGAATCAGCCCATAATACTGGAAAACAAACGCCGAAAACTGAAGGCCACGAATCATGCCGTAACTATTGACATGGCTCATGTCTTTGTAGGTCAGTGTGACGTTGTTCTTGGCCGTAATGTAGTCGGCCAAATTGTGGTCCATGATGAGGCGAAGTAGCGAATTGAGCAACGTGAGCTCGATCTTCTCGTACACCTTGGACAAGGAGGTCTCGATCATGACGTTGCACTCCCCATTTGCGGTTTCCCAGACTTGGTCGAGATTGTTGATACCTTGAGCCCACTTGTACACGAGGAGAGGAGGGACCTCAGAGTCCGACGGCTTGATCCAAGCAGGAAAGAGGTGACGCTGGTCGGCTTGATACCAGAGATACTGATCCAGGTAGGCATCGCTGATCTTCTCAATGGGCTCAATGTCGTACACAGGGTTGATGGTGCTATAATTGTCGTTCATATCAATGCCCACCTCCTTGAAGGCCCGCTGCGTCAAGAGGAAGCGCTTGATCCGCTCGAGAGTAGTTCCCGGGCTGTCGTATGCCTGTTCAATAAGGGCCAGCTCTTCTCTTTGGCTCTGGTTAAGTCTCCCCTTGGTGGAGTAGGCCTCGCGGAGACGCTCGAGGGCCAAGATGAGGATCTTGGTATCATGCTTGTAGGAAACACTCGGGAAAGGAATAGGGGAGAACTTGCGGGACTCGAGCCAATGCACAGTGGTCGTATAGATGGCCACGGCCTCCTCGGAGGATACATACGGTCCATCTTTCATATGGTTGTGTTGCCTTTCCTGCTCAGCCTTGAGCCAGAGACGGGTAAGGCGGCCGACGTTCTTCTTGGCGACGGTCTTGTCCACGGTGGCACCCCTTCTGATGCGCTCTCTGTTGTAGTGAGCAACCGAGACCCACCAATCAGCCTTGGACTTGACATATCTGAGGATGATGTTCTCAATAGCAGCAGGCAATCCTGGGACCTTCCACGGAATATTGCTCTTCCAGCACCTCCAGGCCTCAGAGAGATGCTGCAACACGGTGTTGACCTTGTTTTGTTTGATACCCTCGGGCATCATATCCATCAGGTCCGCCATGACCGAAGCCCGAAGCTCGAGATCGAAATGTGACTCGACACGCTGCTTCGTGACGGTCTTGGCAACGCCTTTGCTGTGGCGGCCTTCAAACTGACGAGACAGCAAATTTCCAAGCCAGCGCTCCAGCAAGGGGATAATACCGCGCATGAAAAACAGCCAGACTCTCCAGGCAGGAGCCCAGAAACCGCAGCCAGGGCCTTTGCCAACAGGGCCCGCGTTAAACCGGTAGTAGATCAAGTGCTTCAAATCCTTGCAAGAGCGAATCTGGTGCATGAGCTTGTACTTGTATCGATACATTCCCGTCAGCTGTCCCACATGGTTGAACGCATAGAGGATACCATCGGCGAGCTGAAATGCGTCAATGTTACCCAGCCGGTATTGCACTTGGGCATCGACAATGAGCTTGGTGAGCCGCAAGATCTCTCGCATTAGATGAAAGGCGTTTCCAAATCTCGACTTTTTGCGCTCCTTGGTAGTGAGAGTCTTGACGGGCTTCAGGTTGAAATTGTAATCAAGATGGAGATAGGTAAGGTTCTTGCGATGAATCAACAAGTTGAGCATGTTGAAACCTTGGCGACAGACTTGAAGACCTGCCTCTACCCAGTCGATGGTTGTCTGCTGGAAGAACTTGGTCTGCTTCAAGGACCTGAGCAGGCTTTGCTTTTGCAACGACTTGGGCTTCTTCTTGTGAAGCTCGTTGAGGACGTACGTCTTCAAAAGCTTCTGGTATGAGACGCGAACCTTCACAGGCTGCTTTGGTGGACAGTGTTCGAGGTACCAGTGCTTGATCAGAGGAACATCTTGAGCCCGGACCATACGCCCAGAGCGACGGTCAAATGGAAACGGTGCCCACCACAGTTCTATCGCAGATGCCGTGTCGTCTGTATAAAGCTCCTCGTCGGCCATGAACGGCTCAACACCCACGGGAAGCTCGAACTCCTCCTCTTCTGGCTCCTCGTTGCTGCCCTGGCCAAAAAGTTCGTCTTCATGACTGATGGTGAGGTTCTTCGGCGCCACGGCCCGAGATGAGATGGGGTTGATGCTGGTGTCGAAGTAGAATGCAGGGAGATTGTGGTCCTCTGTTCGGGTGTACACTACCTGAGGATGCGAATGCCAGGACAGGTGGACGCTGCGCGGGAGAGCATTGTAAAGATAGGGATAGGACACTCGACATTCAGTTCGGATGGGGTTTCTGAAAATGATGCGGTCCATGGCGTTGAACTCGCCGAAATCCTCGTCATTGGGGTCGATATCTTTGTAAAGTGGCTCAAAGCGAGGACCGCCAGGCAGCGCAACATTCAAGGCTTTGGCCGTGAGAAAGCTCTTGAGCTCGAAGAGATAAAAGTAATTCTGATCAACAACCTCAGATACCAAAGGGCGACTGAGCCGATATAAGCTCGCCATTTGTGGCAGTGTGAGGTTCCATGTCTTGTAGCTTGGGCCATTGACATGTGTCGTGTCCAGGAGAGGTTGATGGTCATAAAACCATTCGTACACAGCAGCCTCTTCGTCTTCGTCGAGCTCCATCTGGATCGGCTCCAGCGGTTCGACATCCTCGATGTTCTCGGACCAAGAAAGGGGTGGCTCTTCGTCGTCAAACGGAGGGAACCGCATCCGTTTGAACAGTCTTCGATCGCTCTTCTCCTTGCGCATGGTCGTCCACATAGTAGCCCACTGTGCAAAAAATACGGGTTCGATGACGCGTGGAATCTCATTGACGAGCGTCAGGCAACCATTGACATGGTAGAGCACCTTGACCTCCCTCGCTGATTCCCAAGGCATCGGCATGTTCTCGAGCAACTTCAAAACTGCATGAGGCATGAATTTCAGCGCACCAAGATAGCTTCGCTTGTCATTGGTGTACTTCTTCTGCGAGACATCGCCGATATCCTTCACAATCTTACGCAGGTGTTCCGGCGGCATATCGGCCTTTTGCGTCTCCACGAAGCCACCCTTCCGCTTCTCGCCAAACCGATTGCGCTGGTCCCGAAGCCATTCCTTCTTCTTTTGGGCAAACTTGGCAATCTGAGGGTTCGTGGGAGGCTGGTATCCGGGGGGAGGTGGTGCCGGAATAGCAGGCGGCGGAGGAAGTGAGGACGGCGGTCCGGGGGGCGGCGGCGGAGGGGGTGGAGGCGGAGGACCCCATCCGGGAGGAGGAGGAGGGAAAGACATCTCTATACGGCCTCAGGAGGGATTCTCGGATGGAGGTTGAGAGGGAAGGATGAAGGTCGCCTTGTTGGCGTTCGTGGCCGTCGGTAACTTTGTCTATCGCAGTGGTCGAAGATTGTCCGCTGCTAAAGGAGATGGAGTGTGGGTGTTTCTCTTATTATGACGTCCGCATTTCCGGGCAGGAGAGAGAAAGCGACAATCCCTCAGCGGCTCACGGCGATTAGTGGCGTGATGTGAGGTTGGTTGTTTTGTTGGTGAAGCCAGAAATTGGCTGTCGCCTTGGTTTAGAAAATCTCGAACTGGAACAGCTCTTCGCGACGGCGAGAACAGCGCGCGAAACTGCTGCTAGCGCGCCCAGGTCCCTGTCAGCCGTCCCGTCTGTGCCAAGCCCCCCGTTTGAAGCCACCGTTGCCCCGATAAATGCAGACCGTACGGGTATGTCTGCGATGGATGCACGTGCGGGGTCAGCTGACCTGTCTCAGTGGCGGGCTGGATGGGCTTGACTCACAGGCCAGGGAGCCCCACAAGAACAATATTTGGAGAGCTCTTTCACTTCTACGGCTTGCACGATTCCGGCCGACTTGCGCAAAAATCTCACGAGTGCCAATCCCCAGGTGTTGTCGTTTAGAACTGCTGCAGGTGCCAATCATAAAAAGTAGGGACGAGGCCCGAAGAGCAGCTCCATTAGTTTCGAGTCTGTCACAGCGCTCCGCTCCAGGCGAAACAGCATTCGCTAGCCCCAAATTCGCCCCACCAGAAAATCACCATTCACCGAAAATTAATTATCGAACCCCTCCAACCCGTCAGACTTTTGCTGTGCATCGCCGGCAACCCACGATCGCCCTTGCGCAAAGTTATTCTTGATCTCCGATCTCACCACCCCCGAAGGATAACTTTTTTGACGACTAACCGCAACCATGTCTCGCTTCTTCCGCGGCGGTGACGACAGCTCGAGCGAGAGCAGCTCTGAGGAGGAGGAGCTGTACTCCACTTCCGAGGACGAGGAGGAGCAGGAGGAGCAGGAGGAGTCTTCTGAGGAGGAGGAGGAGGAGGATGAGGAGTCCTCCAGCGACGATGAGGCCGGTCCTGCCAAGAAGGGTCTGTCTCGCTTCTTGCTTGACCAAGCATCCTCCGACAGCGAAGAGAGCGAGGAGGAGGGGACAACAAAGGTCAAGAGCGCCAAGGACAAGAGACATGACGAACTCGAGGCGACCATCTCCCTTATTCAGAACGGCCAGAAGATCAATGACTGGGGCTCTATTGCGAATGGTTTGTGGTTGCTTGCCCATCTTGTCGCTCGTCTGCTAACATGTAGCCAGAATTCGACAAGCTCAACCGTCAAGTCGTCAAGCTCCAGGATGGCGGCAAGGCGCCGAAGAGCTACATTAAGTGCATTGCGGAGTTGGAGGACTTTATGAATGAGACCCTTGCCAAGCAGAAGGTCACCCCCAAGAAGATGAACGCCACCAACGCCCGTGGTCTCAACGCCGTGAAGCAACGCGTCAAGAAGAACAACAAGGATTACCAGAGCCAGATCGATGCTTTCCGAAAAGACAGCGATGCATTCATGGAATCCGATGACGAGGTCGCCCCCCCACCCAAACCATCCGCCGACAAGCTGCGTGTCAAGGAAACTTATATTCCCGAGGCGGCTGATGAGGATGAAGACAAGGGTTTTGCCCGGGTCGACAAGCGTGGAAAGGCCATGCCCTTCTCTCCAGAGAGCATCCTCAAGCATCTCCGCGCCATTCTGGAGTCAAGAGGCAGGAAGAACACCGATCGTATCGAGCAAATCAAGATCATGGAGGAGCTCAGCAAGGTGGCCAACACCCCCTACCTCAAGATCAGAGTTCTCCAGGCTCTTGTATCTGCCCGGTATGATCTCGGTGCTGGTGCCGGAAATGTGATGCCCCTTGAGCACTGGAAGGCGGCTGAGAAGGAGCTGTCTGCCTTGCTCAAGATTCTCGAGACCGAGAAGGATCACGTTGTGATTGAGAATGCTGAGGAGTGGGATGATGATGACAAGCAACCAACCCTTGCCGCTGGTGAGAGCTATATCAAGATCCCCGGCAGCATCGTGTCGTATATCGAGCGTCTTGATGATGAGCTCACCCGCTCCCTTCAGGCCATCGACCCTCACACGTCTGAATACATTGAGCGGTTGACCGACGAGGGTTCTCTGTACAACATTGTTCTGCAAGGTCTCCTGTACTACGAGACCATCCGCAAAGACACCTCGCTCGAAGTTCCCCAGGAGAGTCTCAACAGAATCATGCAAAGACGCCTGGATCATGTGTACTTCAAGGTATGGACCTTTCAGGCCCCGTCCAGTGTAATGCCTATTTGCTAACGAAAAATAGCCAGCTCAAGTCATCAAAATCTTGGAAGAGAACGCCTGGAAGCAGGTCTCTGCGGGCGTCGACTCCGCCATTACGCCCCGTAATAAGTCAGAGGATGCCAGCCAACTCGTCAACGTCCTTTGCAACTACCTTTTCGAGCACAGCGAAGGCATTATCCGTGCCCGCGCCATGCTCTGCCAGGTCTACTTCTTGGCGTTGCACGATGAGTACTACAAGGCCCGTGACATGATGCTCACATCTCACTTGCAGGAGAGCATTTCCAACTTCGACATTGCCACCCAAATTCTCTACAACCGTACCCTTGTTCAAGTTGGTCTCTGCGCCTTCCGCAAGGGTCTCGTGTATGACGCCCAAAACACTCTCCAAGAGATTTGCGGCAGCGGGCGCCAAAAGGAGCTTCTTGCCCAGGGTGTCATGATTCAGCGCTTCAACCAAGTTTCTCCCGAGCAAGAGCGCCTTGAGAAACAACGGCAGCTACCCTTCCACATGCACATCAACCTTGAGCTCTTGGAGTGTGTGTACTTGACCTGCAGCATGCTTCTTGAGATCCCGCTGTTGGCTCAGACTGGTTCGTCTCCCGATATCAAGAAGCGCGTCATCAGCAAGACATATCGCCGTATGCTCGAGTACCATGAGCGCCAAATCTTTACCGGCCCTCCCGAGAACACCCGCGACCACGTCATGCAGGCGTCCAAGGCCCTCGCGGCTGGTGAGTGGAAGAAGGCTACGCACTTCATCCACAGCATCAAGATCTGGGAGCTCATGCCAAGCGCCGAGGACATCAAGACGATGCTCGCTAAGCAGATTCAGGAGGAGGGTCTGCGCACTTACCTGTTCACATATGCGCCCTTCTACGACACACTGGCCATCTCCACATTGAGCGCCATGTTTGAGCTCGACTCCAGGAAGGTGGCTGCCGTTGTCAGCAAGATGATCAGCCACGAGGAGCTCGCGGCTGCCCTCGATCAGGTCACCGAGACCGTCATCTTCCGCAAGGGCGTGGAGCTCAGCCGTCTGCAGAGCTTGGCCCTGGCTCTCTCAGACAAGGCGAGCTCGCTCATCGAGACCAACGAGCGCACACTGGAGCAGCGGACACAAGGATCGGCCAATGCCTTCAGCAGGAAGGATGGTCAACGAGGTGGTCAGCGGGGCGGTGGCCAACGGGGTGGCAGAGGCGGGGCGCGGACTGGAGGAAACTCTCAGCGACAGGCTGGTGGCACCCAGTTTACGGGTGGTGCTCTGGGTGCTGCGGTCCGCGGTTAAGGTTGTCACGATGGGTATACATGGTTTTCGTTGCGCTATTGCATTGGGCTTGGCATGTTACGTATCAAAAATGGTCCCGGGGTGCGTTTAGGTGTTGCACCACGTTTAGATCATAGGCAGGCAGTCAAGAATCGTGGGGCTTTTAATATTTGATTCAATGTCTTTTCTTGTGACTTGTTTACAATTGTATGGTGGTATTGTTTTTTAGTGTTTGCCGGCATGGATGTCTCACTCAAAAACGATGTCGAGGACGGCAAGCAATAGGAAGTTGAGTAATTGGCTGATGCCTTGTCTGGCATTTACCAAGTAATCAGATACGGATTCATGACCTTAGTGTAGTCTTGCGAGGGTATAAAGGGCACGCTGCTGTCTCCTCCTGAAATACCCTCACAACAACATATTACCAACTACTACCGTAAAGGTACACGGGGTCTATTCAAAGCACCGAGGGCAAAGAAAATGATGAAATAGGGGTAGAGGCTTGGAGAAATCAGCAAGGCAAACAGAAGGTCACAATCAAGATGACACGGGCTTTTTGGGTGGCTACTTCAGTAGCACCTTCTTTTGATTCTTTCTTTCATCAACTGCAGTCGTGCCAAAGGCAACATGTGACAAACGCAAGAATATGGAGACCAGGCAATCCCACGCCGTTCCCCTCGTAGTTGTCAACGCCACAGTGAAACCCAGATATGAACCAAGTCCAGCCCGAAAAATGCAACCACCGCTGTCCCAATAACTTAGAGACGGCGACCACGGCGACCACCCTTGCGGCGAGTAGAGTCGGAGGGAGTGGGGGTAACGTCCTCAATGCGGCCGATCTTCATGCCGGAGCGGGCAAGGGCACGGAGAGCGGACTGGGCACCGGGGCCGGGAGTCTTGGTACCGTTACCTATTCAAATTGATCAGCGATTGATTCGACAATTGGGTGCATTTGCGGGTTACATACCACCAGTGGCACGGATCTTGATGTGGAGGGCAGTGATGCCGAGCTCCTTGCAGCGGGCCGCAACGTCCTGAGCAGCCAACATGGCAGCGTAGGGAGAGGACTCATCACGATCGGCCTTGACCTTCATACCACCGGTAACACGGCAGATGGTTTCGCGGCCACTGGAATCACCCAAAGTTAGCCTCTGAACCTCAACCTTTCATGTCTTGCTTTCCCACGAACACCAGGCGTCGAGTCCTCCTCTTGTCGCCCAATGTTGCCATATATTCCATATTCAGGAGCCTACAAACCTCAGATCGGTGACGTGGACGAAGGTGTCGTTGAACGAGGCGAAGATTCTCGCAACTAAGTCGGAACTGTTAGCGATGACGAGCTCCCAACCGAACCATCCTGATAAGGAAAAACGTACCGCCAAAGACAAGTTCACCCTCGCGAACCTGGGGGCCGAGGGAGATGTTCTCCTGGGCAGGACGGGCGACCTTCTTGGGGGGCATTTTGACTGGTGATCCGGAAACTTGACCTGGGAATTTGCGGTTGTAGTTTCGAAGTGGACAATCCCCAGATATTCGGAATTTTTGGCAGGCAGTGGTGTGGTGAAGAGTCGCCGTGTGGAGTTTGGCGGTGTGGGAATGCAGAAAAGAGAGGTGCGGGGCCACAAATAATTTGCGAGTGGAAAGCCCTAAGTAACTTCGTACCGACCGCCCCACCCAAGCTCCCAATTCGCCAACCCTTTTTCTCGCGACCACCGCTGAAAATTCTTTCTCGCTGCTTCTTTGCAACGCACGACAACCTCCGCCGACGTCGACAACCGGAACAATGGCCGCTACGTATGCCTCACCCCCGATGTTTTCCTTCAGCCCTTGAATGGTATCGTCGTGTATCGCTCGACGAGATTCTGCAGATTGGCGTGGTCCTCTCACTGGACGCTTTTCTCGATTCTGCCCTCGCAGACCGGGCATCGCTCCAGCTCGATCCCTCCCATGGTTCTCCCTCTTTCTTGCAAGCCTGGTGGTGTGTGGCCTGCGGACTGAGAGACGTCTCATGGGGTGTTGGGGATGAAGACTTGTCTCCTCCCTTAAAAACATTTGCCGTTTGGTGATGTGGTCCAAGCAAGCCTCATTGAGGCCTGTCAGGACCATAATCCTGCGCTCGCAAGCTCTTATTTGGACTTCGGTTCAGATTGTCGACAGATGGGGTTCTCTACACTGTGTACGGCTTGCACGGTTACTTCACACTCGAGCTCGCCCATCGACTGACATAAAACATCGAGTCAGCCACGAGAGAATGCCGCACTGAGGCAGCAGTTCTCCAACGGCGCTCTACCGCATACCTCGTGTATGTCCGGACCTCGTACTGATCTGTTGACTTTAGTTCCGTCCCCACCCAGAACGACATTCTCGTTCCCGAGACTCTCCTGAAGAAGCGTAAGTCGCAGGAGAAGGCCCGCGCTGAGCGCGCTGCCGAGCTCGAGAAGGCCAAGGCTGTAAGTTTTTATCTCTTTGTTTTGAGTCTGGAGGGGCGATATGATGCACAACAAACCTAGCGACTAGATACGTCAATGCTGTTGCTAAATTAACCATCTTTCGGGTCTGATCGAACCAATGGATGATGACATTTGTACTTTGGAGGCACACGGCGTGGACATTGTGCTAACTCATCTCTACAGGCCCGCAAGGAGAAGCGTGGTGTCATCTTCAAGCGTGCCGAGAAGTACGTTAAGGAGTACCGCGACACCGAGCGCGAGAAGATTCGCCTCCAGCGTGCTGCGAAGCAGGATGGTGCCTTCCACATCCCCGCTGAGGCCAAGTTGATCTTCATTGTCCGCATCAAGGGGTATGTTTCCACAGTGAAAATTATAGTCATCTCAGAGTCATTACTGACACGTCCACACAGTATCAACAAGATTGCCCCCAAGCCCCGCAAGATCCTTCAGCTTCTCCGTCTCCTCCAGATCAACAACGGTGTCTTCGTCCGCGTCACCAAGGCCACCGCTGAGATGATCAAGGTTGTCGAGCCGTGGGTTGCCTACGGTTACCCCAACCTCAAGAGCGTCAAGGAGCTCATCTACAAGCGCGGATATGGCAAGGTCAACGGCCAGCGCATTGCCCTCACCGACAACAGCATCGTCGAGGAGAACCTTGGCAAGTACGGCATCATCTGTATCGAGGATCTCATTCACGAGATCGTCACCGTCGGCCCCAACTTCAAGCAGGCTGCCAACTTCCTCTGGCCCTTCAAGCTCAGCAACCCCAACGGTGGCTTCCGTCCCCGCAAGTTCAAGCACTTCATCGAGGGTGGTGACCTTGGCAACCGTGAGGAGCACATCAACGCTCTCATCCGCCAGATGAACTAAGTTGGGTGACTTTGATGGTTTTGCGGTTTTGTCTTTGGTCATGGGAATTGGCATGGGTGCATGGCGTTAAATGGAAGCCGGCTTGGATGGCTCCGGGGAATCAATACCACAACACGAAGTCGTTCTTGCACACCACTCTTCCCACAGTTGATGAAGTAGATTGCCCCCTTACTGGCCAGGACGCAGCCCAATTCTATGAAGCTGTTGCTCAATGTGTTTCCGCCCCCTGATATGAAGTGATTTGAACAACGTCCAGGCATTGATGTCTATTATTACATAGGTCTTCCCCAAATAAGTAGCCCTACATGCTTATCATTGCGCAATGCTCCCTGAGGCTATCATATCTTTATGTCAAAGCTTGTGCCACACCCACAACTACTTGTAGCGAGAGGATTGTCCACGATTTTAAACTGCGATCCAATAAGTTCCATCGTAAAGTCCACCTTACTCCCCTTTAAAAGCTCAAGAGAAGGAGTGTCAAGAATGATTTTTGGAGCTGTCAAATCAGTTGGGGCACTCGAACCATCGGCTGCAAAGGTAAAGATAGTATCATCTTCTCCGATGGCGGATGTACTCTCTGCTGCCCCGTCGGTTGCCGAGGAGGAAGGCAGTGAAGGAGGAAGAGTGACCAGCTTCATCAGATATTGAAACCCATGACAGCCACCGGACTCTACTTGAATACGAAGGGCGAGGTATGGGTTTGAGTCCTTGGCCATAATCTCGGAGAGACGCTGTAAAATACCTCGTCAGAGGGAAGCTCAACGAGCCGGACTTGAATAGCAGGGACGAACCTTGGCTGCGCGCGGAGTGATCTCCAACATCATTTCCTGGCCATCATCGTCCGTTTGGGGATTGAAGAGTGCACGGGTGGTACCGCTTGGGGGAGCGGTGGTGGCGGCAGACCGCGGCATCGTGGTTGTGAAGCTCCGTCTTGTGAGATTACCTCGGGGAGAGCAAGGACGCCATGATGATCTAGGACTCCTCGCGGCAATTTGGCTGGGGCCCGATTGGTGAGGTATTTTGCGAGTGCGTGCAGTAGACACAGAGTGATGCGCCCGAGTTGGCCCAGAGGCGCTCCGCACTGGCAGAGGGAGGAGAAGATCGAGGATGGAGGGGGAGGTCGCGATGGCCCGGCGGCACATGCTGAGCTGGATAAAGAGACTCGCGGTGGCGGGAGGGTTGACACAGTGCAGTGGTGGCATTCTTGACTCTTAAGACGGCTTTAGGAACAGTTGTATTCAGGGGATGGATGCTCAGCGCCGTTGACGAGGTGCTGTTAGGTAGGGTTGGTCTGTCGGTGAAATGCCGGTGCCGTTCTGCAAGCGATGGCGGGAGGTTTGCAAAATTTCCGGTGATGTCAAGGCCGAGACCCGGGAAGCTGCAAAGCGCTGACCAATCATGGTGGGGTGGCTTTGGTCTTAATTCACCAGCGCTTACAACCGGCGGCGACAACTGAGTTACACAACAACCACCTTGAAGCCGAATGCAATGAAAAGACTGAAGCAGGATCTCGTTGCTCTTGTTGATCTCATGTGTGTCAAGTGATTCCAGTAATCCCAAAGATCCAGAATGCCCGAGTCTTCAAGTCTACGATATCCAGAACGCCTTCCCAGTCCCAAAATAATACCCTATAATACAGATAGTCAAGAATCGAAGAAAAGGGGGGTTAAAACAGAAGTGAAAAAGAAGCCAATTTCTAGCCAAAGTCCATCACCATCCTCCGCGGTACCAAGTAATCGACGGTCCGAAATCATAGATCCGGATCGCACCCTTTGACACCTTCAGTGTTGCGTTTACTCGAAGATCGAGAACAATTCAGATCCATCAGTAGCGCATGGTCCGGTTTCGAGTCTCTCGTTTCCAGGCACGACGCAAGTCTGATTCCTTTCGTTTTGTGGTGCCAAGGCAAAGCTTGTCTGCCCAAGGAAAGGAAACAACTGAGCACCATCGGTTTCTCCCTCTGAAAAAAGGTCTGTTAGCTTGGTGCGCTATATCCTGGACGAAGGGGGGGAAAGCATAGATGGACCTACCACCATCAGCACGTCCGCCGCATGAGAACAGAGTGACGGTGTCCCCTGGCTGGCGTCTGAGATCAACACTGATACAGCCCTGGGTCTATCAAAGCAGTTGTCTTAGTAACATTCTCCAAAAGCAAGCTAGTGGTGATGGCAATGGTTAGGGATCACTTACCAGAGTGCTCACGATCAAAGCAGCAAGTTCCCGGTTGTTGTTATGTTTACCAGCGGTAATAACATCAAACTTCTCGTTCGGGCTACCTGTACAGTCCACAAGCGAGACAGGAATCAAATTCTGTCGAAAGTCGCCAGCGGTCGGGTCGATAAAGAGACACTTGTTGTTTGGTGCCCTGATGGTGACATCGGAAAAGGCCCGGGTAGCGCCTTCGTCCCGCTGATGAGACTGAGCTGCAGCAGTGGGCTGGAGAGTACCGCCGGCACGAGACACGGGCACAGGTTCGGTAGGGTTGACCGAGGGGATGCTCCCACCGCCATTGTTATTGCCATTATCATTGTTGTTGTTGCCGCCGTTGTTGTCGTTGTTCCCGCCGTTGTTGTTGCCATCGTTGTTGTTACCGTTCCCGGCACCAGGGGCAGTGGTGGTTGACTGGGCAGGGGCAGCTGAAGGTGCGGTCGTAGGAGTAACAGTCACTGTTCGAGTACTTTTAGTACAGCTCGAGGTGGAGGTACCGCTAGGATTACCAGAACTACCATTTCCGCCATTTCCACCGTTGCCAGCATTTTCATCGCCTCCGTTGTTCCCACCGTTGTTGTCATCATTGTTACCGCCGTTACCACCGTTGTTGCCGCTAGCCGGGGCACCACCACCAATGGTGAAGGTCTGGCTGGCGTCTCCATTCTGACAGTTCGCAATGTCAAGAGTGTTCCCCCTTGCGGTTGCGCAAAAGTTTCCTCCTTCGTTTTGAGGGCTCAGTGAAAGCGGGCCGGCACCGCCGTCAAAGTCAAACAGCTGAGAGTCAGTCACATCACCCCCTGAAAATATCAGCATACATTCTCTTATTCAATCAGTCCAATAATCTTACCTCCATCCGCTCGACCGCCGCATGAGAAGAGCAGAAGCTGATTCCCGGCTTGTCGGCGCGAATCAAAGTTCAGGCAAGCATTGGTCAAGGATGACACGATGAGGGCCACGCCATCGCCTCTGATATGAGCGCCGGCAGTGATGACGTCCCAGCCCTGCCCATCAGTAGAACCGCAGTCCGCAATCTGAACGGGAGTAAGGTTGGCTCGGAAATCTCCAGACAGCTCGTCAACAAAAAGGCATTTCCCGTCTGATGTTCGGATCTCAACGTTGGAGAAAGCCCGGGTAGCACCATTGTCCCTCTGATGGGCTTCGGCCGTGGCCTCTTCATTGAGGGAGTCAACTGCCCGATGTCGTACAAGCGGGGAGGCTCCCACGACAGCAGCCCAGGCCAGCAAAGAAGTGAGTGAAGACACCATGATTGTAGATGAAAATGAATGAGAGACGGCAGAAAACAGCCGATCAACCTGCTCGAAGAAAGGAATGGATGTCCGCGCAGCAGACTGGAAAAGAAGGACAAGAAAGAAATGAAGAAAGAACGTGAGAAATGGATGATATTCACAACACCCCGCTGAGAGTTGAGTGAAGGGGATAGATATATCAGACGAAGTGGACGGCCCTGCCTGGCTACTTATCCCTGTTCATGGGCTTCCACAAGAAGGCCCTATCACCCCCTACACGGGCATTTGGGGTAAAAGGGACTTCATGATGGGGTTTCATGGTCTCTCATGTGTGTACACCTAGGCTCACTTGGAGGGCTGTTTCGTGCCAAAGTTGAAAGCGACCAAGGCGATGGCCTGCAAAATCCAGGATGGCGGTTCAGGGGCCGATCAGTTGATCCTTGATCAGAGTCTGGGATGGTGGTGATGACAGGATAACGCAGGGGTCAGGGCCAAATGTTTCCTGTTGAAAGACGCGCGGAAAAGGCCATCGGAGAGCGAAGCGCTGTCTGTTGACGCTGGGAGAGACCGATGGCAGGGCAGCTTGGTTCCACGGCTTACACCCCTGCCAAAAGATGGGATGTGTTTGGCCCAAAAAGGAGGGCTGACCCCTGTAGCACATCCCGGACACACTCGCCAGCGGGTGACCTGCACAGTCGCTGAATTTTGAGCTGGGGTTTGGAGATCACGGCCTGGGCTGTGAAACGGTACCTGTCAGAGATGGCGCCAAGATCGGGGGTCGTCCACCACACAATACCCTCGCAACAGCGGCACAGAACGCAGGATATGGAGAAGGGTCCATCATCTCAACGAAAGTTCCTCGAAGAAAAGGGCTGCAGAAAGAGAGGAAGAGGGATTTTGTGACCCTGGCATCCATGCTGTTGTCCTTCGTGTTTGCAGCGATCAAAGAAAATCCCCCGCTGAAGGCCCCACCTTGAACCAGTGGGCTGGGATGACGTCGAGCAGTATCGACCCACCGTTGTGGCCTCTCCTGTGAGTGTTGTTCCCATTTAATACATAGGTAAAAGGCTGTCATGTTCTCGGAGGTAGACGAGAACTGTATATAACGGTGTCTGGGAATCTCATCTCAAGTACTCACATTGTTGATGGTTAAATGTTGTTGCAAATCCCTGCTGCCTACACCACCTCATACAGAAGAGAAAGTACAGGGGACTTCGAGCGCGCAGAATTACTACTACTCGAATGCATGAAGTCCGTCTCCCCTGCAGTCCTGCGTATTCTAGTATATCTCCACTACTACATCTTCAGATGGTTCCCCCGGGTCTCAGACCCTCAAGCTCGGTGCAACTGAGACTCGCCGGGAACCCATTCTTGAGGCCGACCATGTGGGAAGCTTGGTGCTGGGTGTCTGGCAGATGGGATCCGGTAGATAAGAGAAGACTACGGCGGTTGTGTGCTCTGGCCTGGGGTCGGTCACCGCGTGAAGATGTTCAGATGAATCATGGACGTAAGGTTGCATACACGGCTCCAACTGCCTGCGTGATGGGCCATGTGGAGATGAATTGTCGACACACCAAGGGTTAGGGTCAAAGACTTGATTCACTCCCAAACCGCCCCGCTTCTTTGCCAGGGCCACAGCCCTAATCAGCGTTTCTCTGCCAAGACGTCCACTCCGCAAAATTTCCAGATACCAAACCTCAATTGCGATTGCGCCTTGTCCGACTCCGAACGACAGCTTCCGACACGAACGATCAACCTCACCCATCTCCGCCAAATCACCCCATACACACCGCCAAAATGCCTGGAGGAGTCACCGTTCGCGATGTCGATGTAAGTTTTGGGAGCCCTTCGCCATGACGGCCTTTGCGACCGAGACCCGAACACTCTCTTTCGCCGTCCGAGTCGCTGCCAGCTTCCTCAAACGAGGCTCGGGTTGGCCGACGACGATGGACCGCTGGTCAAGACAGCAACATGGAAGATGATGGGAGCAGGCGTGAGGGGGTCGAAAGATCTCTGAAGACGGAATTGTGCTAATCATATTGTGTTGCTTGGTTCAAGGCCCACAAGTTCGTCGGTAAGTCTTGCTTTGCTTCGTTTTGCCTCGATATGTCTGGTGCGCAGTGCGGCAAATGGCTGACTCTGAATAGGCGCCTACGCCGCTTTCTTGAAGCGTCAGGGCAAGCTCCCCGTCCCCGGTTGGGTTGACACCGTCAAGACCGGCCCCGCCAAGGAGATGCCTCCCCAGGACATCGACTGGTTCTACGTCCGTGCCGCTGCCGTCGCTCGTCACGTCTACCTCCGCAAGACCGTTGGTGTCGGCCGCCTCCGCCGCGTTCACGGCAGCGCCAAGAACCGTGGCTCGCGCCCCTCCCACCACGTCGAGGCCTCCGGCAGCGTTGATCGCAAGATCATGCAGGCTCTTGAGAAGATCCAGGTCCTTGAGCAGGATGAGGAGAAGGGTGGCCGCCGCATCACGCAACAGGGTCAGCGTGATCTTGACCGTGAGTTTACTTGATCTCTCGAGCCGTTTGCACTTTGCTAACGTACGTAAACGTAGGTATTGCCCAGACCGTTGCTGAGGCTGAGGGTGAGGAGGATGAGGATGACGAGTAAATGTCGTCTTTTCCAACAGTCGCTTTACACACCAGGCTCTTTGCTGAGTACGCAAAGATGTGAAACGGAAGGGTCGGCATGGCATGGATTTCCGGTAGCATATGGGTTAGGCGTCAAAAAGGATTTAATGGCTTGCTTGATCATGCCTTTCCTCGCTCACCTAGGCGACCAAGCTGGCTTTATATGTGCTAGCTTTTAAAGCATATCTGCCATAAGACGGTGTTTTCTCCAGCTTTCCTGCGCGTAGAGCGTAAATCAATACCCAACAAACCAAGTCAAACAAACAATAGTACCATCTTCTCCGTGACTGACACGTAGGCCACGTTTCCACTGCTCAGCACACCCAGTTACCTCGTCAAATGCCAACGTCGGCCTCCAGACAACATTCTCCTGCTGTGTCCTTAACCACTTATGACCCAAGCAAGCTGCCAGTCTCAACATCTAGCCTACCATTTTGTTTCTCACAAGCGTATATTTAGATAAGTAGTCAACCACTTCTGTCTCCTGGCTGGGAAGGTACCCGATCGCTTCTTTGTGAAAGGCACTCTCCGAGAAGCATCTCTCACTCGCTACTTCGAGTCATTACATGGTTAGACACCTGCCATTCCCTCTAGTTCGTCATGGTTGTCGACGTAATCCAACCACACTGCGCTCTCTCCCCTGTTCCAAAGTAACTCCTTGGTCACCACTACCCACCACCTCCTTGTTTACTGTTGCCTAGGTGGCTAGCTATCAAGGTAAGCTTCAACCTTTCAGCTTCTTCGAGACCGCGACTTCCTTCTAATGCTCTTTCCAAGTGCCCCAGCTATTAGGCATCCGACCTAAGGTCGTCGTCGTCCAGGACCGAGAGCCTCAGCCTAGATTTCCTTGGTCGCCCGATCCATCAATCTTTCCTCCAAGCTTCTCTCGCTATTCTCATTTTCTTGACCTCAACCCACGCATTTCATGACGCCGTCGAAAAAATGGAGACGTTCTCTTCGACTTCGATTAAGCTTACTCGGGAGGCGTTGATGCTCTCAGAACTCCATATTGCGACTCTCAATGGCGACCTTCAACATGTGAGAGAGCTCCTGAAGAGCACCTCCACGTCACCTGGCGGTACAAGAAAAGTTATCGAAGCGCGCGACCGACATGGGACAACACCCCTCATGATAGCCGTTCTCTATGGTCATCTCGCTATTGCGAAACTCCTGTTGAGATATGGCGCTTCGAGGAAAGCACGAGACCTTCAAGGCCGTGTCACCTGGGAGTACTCGCGCGCTTCATTGTTCGACCGAAAGCCAAAGATGTACCAACACCTGGGCTTTCCCCCAATCGCCCGAAGTCGGCAACGTGAGAGAAGGAGAATTGCCATAATTCTGAAATATCCCGCCGCTTTGCGATCTTGGTAAGCATTCTGGTCCACCCCTACAATATGTGTTCCTTTCACAGATCCCTAACAGAATGCAGTCGTCGAATTGGCAATCACCACTACTCGCGCAGCCGACTGCACAAGCGTGCCAAGGACCTGGTCATTCTCAAGCCTGTAGGTGGCTTCGAGACATTCAAGCCAGGCAAAGAGGGCAATGAGCTTCTTAGTGCAACCGCGGGCTTCATAGCCTCTGCTACCACTTCTCCCAAAGATGTGAAGGTTGAGCAGTTTGCAGTCAGCGGTTGGAAGCCAAATCCAGGCCGTGGTCCTCGGGTTCTTGATAATGTTGTCTTGACAGAACGGGTTAGGGATGTTATTCACCTTCATGGCCTCAAGGTTCGTGCGTCCCAGCGGGACAACGGCAACAAGACTGCTTTGCCCGAGCACAAGGGCCGATTTGCGGCATGCCATGTTGAGAAAAAGCTCGCCGTCTGGTGGGTAATGAAGGCCCTAAAGGAAGTCTTCAACACGTCAGATATTGAGCGCCTGAGGGAGCTGCGAGGGGCATATGTCCCCAACTACTACCGGGAGGCTATGCTCTTTCTTGACCACGGGCCGTGCCAAGATGTAAGTAATCCCCAGCTGGCCTCGAGTATGAGGATGTTTGCTAATGCCAAAGGACTCAGTGCTGGGACTTTTTGCACCAGCTGAAGCGGATCACTGGGATCCTAATATGTGTCGAGTCGATATCATTTTGCGTCACGGGCAATCGGGCATCTGGACCACAGGGGTGTCCAAACTGTACATGCCAGAAATGTACCAGCCAAAAGGAAGCACAGATGAGTCGCCCATCTTCCGACTCGGCAATCCAACAAGACGACGAAGACAGCGATGATACAGAGATTGGACCATCAGAGGATGACATGCAACTGCCGCTCATTCAATTCGAGACAGAGCTAAAGGGGACTGGAGACAAAGGTGTTCGCCAACCTCATTCTCGTAGCAATGGTGGGATTTACAATGGGACTGCAGCCCCTGATACTGTATGCTCCGTGTCTCCTTGAATTATAAACTTTGCTGACCATCTTAGTGGACTGTGTTCCCATCCACAGATCTTAGACCAGTGGCAAAGCCACTGAACAGAATCCAGAAGAACATCGAGGCCTCTTCTAGACGGATCTGTGATGCAGCTGATCCTAGTAATGGAGCAATCCTTACCTTCTCGCTTCCACACCGACCTGCTTTCAAAAGCCCTGTGTCATCTCCTGGCTCTGAAGTCACTGGCCGAACGCAGAGTGTTGACCCCGTGTCAACTATGGGCGGGCATTCAGCCTACTTTGAAGATGACGGGCATGAACCCCATACCAAGTCTCCCCTCGCCCATACGAGCCCACCCCAAGCCTCTCGACAGCCACTGCTTCACCCCATTTACCGCTCCCAAATCTCCCTCAATCTTGAGCGGTTTACATATGCTGGAGCCGCTACTTCAGAGGCGCCGGGATCCTTGCTTTCCGCACGGTTGAAGAAGGGCCGCGTTGGCACCATCAAGGACAACGACGTTGACGTCGTGGGCGGAACCAACGACAATGGAAGTAAGCCTGACGTCCGCACGACCCGTGGCAAGCCCAAGACGTCTATAGGTCGAAGGGGGAAATCCAACCCTAGAAATAGAGGGGAAGTTCGGCGGGAATCGAGCTTCAGGTCTAGGAGCACATTCACAAGAGCAGTTGCTTCTCGGTTTGACTGACTGTTTTGCTTTGTCTTGTTTGTGTGTTTTTTCCATTTCCTTTGCTTCGTTGTGTACTCTACCTTTTGTCGAGACTATTACGGCAAGTTGGTGGGCTTTTTGCGCCGGTGCTCAGCGATGGGCTTTTTGCCGTAAACTCCAATCCCACGATTCCAATGTAATTTACTGTTGTTGTTTTCAGTCCATAAAAGGAGAACCAGGAACAGGAAGTCAGAAGGTCTGTTGCAGGGCGGAAGATATTGCCCATGGTGTTGGTCGTGGCCTCGATCACGAATGTTATGTCAAGATATATATGTACCTATTCAATTTCAGCTCTGTGATGAGCAACCCGAGTACTCATAAAACAATACCAACAATGGTCCTGTTTACGTGAACATCATGATGAGAGTCCATGGCGCGTAAGCCATGCCTGTCTAAGGTACCATCATATCTTTTGTTTTTTGGGCATTTTTCATGCCCCCGCTCTTCGTTTGTCCCCTGATCAAACGGACCGATCATTACTCTAATGCTCTATTGCTCTTTCCATATACCATTCATCCGTCATAAACATGACCCAGCATGATGCACGCTTCACCCTGTACCCGATTCAACTCCGACGCCATGCCAAAATCGAAAATCGACCTTTTGATACTGGAGGTACCTGCCAATCAAGCCCATTTTGCCAGGAGAGCCATGACGAAAACGCCCACAAACACACAACCATACGCGCACAATTGCATTTGCAAACCGGCCTTGCGCATCTCGGGGTTGAACATGAATTCGTGAGCCAGTAGCTCGACGAGGCCAGTGTACAGAAGGATGCCGCCACTGATTGCATCAAACACACCATTGACAATCTTGCTGGTGGTAGCTTCCAGTGACATCGACCTGCTCGCTATAAGCCCGATACCGATGGCCAGAGGGGTGCTAAGAGCGTAAACAGTCCCGAGAACATATGGCGTCCATCTTCTAGCGTCCGGAGGCCATGTTGCCGTTGCAAGGCGGGCACCCAAACCAAGACCCTCAAAGGTCTGGTGGAATACCAGCACAACAAAAAGCAGAGTAAAGTTTTCTGTGACGGCGAGGGTCAAACCAATGAAGATGGAATGAAATATGACACCAAACTCGAGGATAAACAGGGCCGTCATCTGCCCCGCAAAGTTGGGATGCTCGTCGCCCTCGATATGATCTCGCAAATGGCCCAGGTGGTTCTCACCCCCAGGCGGGTAACTGACTTCGTGGCGCAACACTGGGATTTGGTGTTTACCACACATTCCACCTTCGATGCTGCTGGCCACTGGCGAGGGGCTTCCGCTTGGGCTGCTGGATGGGACAAGTTCTCGGCCGTGCATTCGCAAGCGGCTGCTGACCGGGCGCAGTGCAGCACTATCCACCATGAGTGTCTCGGGGGGTTCCTGGTGCCCATGTGAAGAGTGAAAGCCGAAATCGAAGCGTGAAACGAGTATTTCGAGGAGAAACATGACCATCACGGTTGCTAGACCGATCCCCATAGCCCAATCATACTCTGGAAGAATGTGCTCAAGACATTCATCCCGGAAGTTGTCGGACGCTGGCGAGAGGAGATGCATGAAAGCGGTTGCAATGATGACTCCTGTACCAAAATACTTGGCGACGAAGAAGCAAAGCTTGGGTACGCGCAGTTTGGAGCTCCTCGCCAACCATACTGGCAAAAGCGCACCGACGGCAGAGCCAAGTAGAATGATAAAGACGGAGGCGATACGCAATCCCAGATCATCTCTGCTCGACAGTGTGCCTACACAGCTAGGCGCTGGCGCTTCATCTCTGAGTAACAGCTCCGAGCGCTGCATTATGTGATTTGACCAGCCTTCTCTTTCGAGGTTTACCGACGGGCACATGGGGGGGGGAAGGTTTGGTGCGGGCGGTACGGCCCTTGAGAAGGAGGATCGGCCGGGCCGGAAAGCTGTGGGCGCAAAGATTGTAAGATTCCGTACCAAATGAAGTCTGAACCCGTCGATATGGACTTGATATATAATGGTGTTCTTGGTCGGAAGACTGGATCGTTTGCGCTTCGCAGTTCAGTAGCCCGCAATTTTCTGGCGACAACTATCTCGGGCCACCACGACTACAGAGTAATCATGGGCACCAAAACGACAGATTCGATATGTACGAGAGACTGAGTGAAGATGAGGGGTGGGCAGCGAGGGCGCAACTCAAAGGCGAGATGGGAGGCGGGAGGCGGGAGTTCGACCGAGAACCTTGATGGCTAAGCTCCAGTCAGCAACCAGCTCGTCATCTAGCGCACGTCTCAAACAGCAAGCGCAACTACCACTACTGCAGAGGTTTTTGGTACGTGCGGAAAAAACACGCACCGGCAAATCCCAATGGCCCTCCTTGGACAAACAACCGCAGTGCTATGCTTGAGTAAAGATTCTTGATCGAGAGATGATGCTTCGGACGCAGACGGATGAGATAAGAAGCTTGCAGGATCGAGAGTCCAGAAGACAGACAATGCTTAGGTAAGGGAGCAGGAGAGGTTTAGAGTATGTGAATGGAAGACGGCCGTGGCGTGGAAAACAGCGTAGGTGCTCATACGCCGCAAGGAGACCGCAAGGAAACCGCATCGCCGGGAGAACGGTGCGCCAAAACAAAAAAGGGGAGATTCCAGTCCCGGAGAAGGGGCCCGGACCTGTGTTTTAAGGCTTTTGGAAGGCACTCCCCGAAGACTCTGGAGACACCAAGCCGATGACCGCCAACCAGTAGAGAAGTAGCCACCATAAACATTTGCAAAATCCCATTGCGCCGGACCTGTCAACCTGACGGTGTCCGCTGACACCCGGCCATTAGCTTACCATCGGGATTGATGGCTGGTACTGCACCAGCACCGGTGTAATCTCAATGATTTGATGTCATTGGTGGTGTGGCGACCGATGTCAGAACAAATGCATGTTTGGGACCATCAAGGTACTCCGGAGTCCAAATAGCGCCCAGTTAACCTTTCTTGCCTCCAACCCCCCCCCGCCGCTCTTGCCGAACAGTCGAAATCGCGGTCATGCTAGTTAGCCCTTCAAGAGACATTCCTCGTGGGCATTAACAGCCGTCTTCTCAAGAAGAGTATTGCACTTCCAATCCCAAGCTTCGGAACGGCTCGCCTAACCTTTGCAAATCCACACCAGTACCGAGGCTGAAGATCAGTGATTTGGCCCGACCCTCCCAGACCAAGCCCAGATCGAGATTGGAACTGAGCCGGGCCTTGAACACGCCCAGGTATTCCTCTTTACCCTCTGTTGGTTTCTCGGCAATCTTGACGGGTTCGGGTTCGGGTTCAGGGTCGTCTAGCCGCCATTCCATCTTTGCCTGGAAACTTCTCTCCTTTTTGCTCGGAAGTTCGGGCTGGTCGGATTCAAGATCAAGGCTGGGCTCGGCACCAAGCAGGAAACCGGCTGGTCGTCGGTTGCTCCATAGCTCTAAGCCGACAGCCCAATCACTCTCGTAGCTATACGCATTAAACTCCATCCGTGTCGCCATGGCAAGAAAGTCCTTCGCCAGCACGGCATATGTGGTGTTGATGTTTCCCATGAGCGGGTTGATAGTAAGTGTCGCTGTGAGCGGCGTCCCTTTGTGCGTGGGTAGAGTTGCGAAACGTGCACCCAAGGACATGCCTCCAGACTTGTTCAAGGTCCCATAGTACATTTCTCCTCCAGCGCTGAAACGGCCATAAATTCGTTCCTTCTCCGTGGATTCTGGACTGCCCGTCCCATTTTGGGAACTCATCACAGCTACGGAAGCATCCCCACCGAAATTATACAGTCCTCTCAGGCCAAGAAGCCCTCCATCGGTCGAGTAAAGCCCCTCGACTCCGTATTTCCCCCGGTCGTATTGAACGACGCTCAGCATTGTACCTCCGTTCCGCAAAGACTGTTCACTGACAGCCGATATCTGAACCTGCAGCGCCGGACTGAACCGCTTGATTACCATGGCCTCAAGCAGCGACTGTGGGAGATACAGCCGACCATACAACAGCGAGCTCTTGTCCTTATTCGGGATTTGACCCATATCCGCAACAGCAGGTACCTGGGGGATTGTCCCTATCTGAGGACCAGTTTCCCACGACCATGGTGTTCCTCCTCGTGAGCCGAGCTGATGCAGCCCGCGATAGGATCTCATAAGAGCCCCTAGCGGTATTTTGTTGGACTGGGCAGGAACGGCAGCCAGGGGGACCGAGCTGTGGAGGTAAGATATCGAGCCGTCGACGACGCCTACATTGCAGAGTTGATAGCTGGTTGCGAAGTGTGGCGTGGCAAGGGAAGAAAGGCTCAAGCGAATTCCTCGAGGCAGCGGGAAGTCAATCAGTTCTGTCGAACACACATCGTCAGCTACGAAACCAGTGAGAGGGGCATGGCATAAACATGAGTACCTCTTGCTGTCACGTTCAAGTCCTTGTAGGAGTTATCCTCGCTCCATCCTGTAGCACCGTAGAAGGCATTTCTGACATACTGCATAAACTCCCGCATCGTCGTGCGGACGGGAATACAGTCCCTCCTCAATGCAGACCTGCAACCGGGTTTTGCTTCTTCCTTGTCATTGACAAGTTTCGCGGGAAATAGGGAAGTTGTCTTCGGATGTTACAGAAGTGTCGGACGCCACGGTCAAGTAAAGCCAAGGTTTTGAGGCCGGGCCCATTGAATGTTTTGTGCTCCAATCATGTGCTGCATGGGCTGGCATGGGGAGCTTGACCCCACCATCCCGTCATCAGTGCAAGGGTCCCCCTCCGCAACCTCACAACCTGGGGAGACACTCCATTTGCATAAAGTGCGAAATGGCCTTGTGTATTCAGGTGTCCAAGGCGCTTCAAAGCTCCTGGCTCTATGGAACTACTACCCAAGTCTCGACCAAACATCACCCACCAAATTCCGCCACCCGACTCCAGGTCCCGTAACTCTCCCTGCACCTGATCTCTTCTACTCTCTAACTCAGTGCTCACCAAAGTTGTCGCGACCACTTGCAAACACCTTGTCAAAGTCATACTCGAACCACCGGATGTTGGGGTTCAGCCCGGCAAACTTCCACACGCCATTGACCTTCTTGTAGTAATGAGTGTTGTGGCTGTGGGCGTGGCCCTTGACCTCCACCTTGGATAGGGACGAGTCTGTGTAGACTTGGTGCGGCACGCGGAGCTGATGGTAACCAATAATCTCGTCGTCGGACACTTTCTCCCACTTGCTGGCACCGCCAATGAAGTGCTGCGTGCGCAGAAGGGGGTTGCCCAACACTGACTTGTCCGAAATCATGCTGATGAACTCCTCGGCCGGCATGGCCTCCCAGATCTTGTCGAGGAACGACCGGTAGTCAATCTACGTCTTCAGTATCAGCCATTTTGCCCTGTCTGACTAGGCAGTTCTTCGTTGTGGATAGCCCATCAACATACCCGCAGGGTGGGAGCAATGCATCTTCGCAGACGGTCCCAGTCCTTGGAGTCGTAGCTGTCAGCCCACTCAAACGCAGCCTCAGTCACACCGAGGTAATCTATAAAACTTGATTAGACAGCTTTCCAGAGCGATGGTTAGGACATACCCTCAAAGGTGATCTGCTGCTTCTTCTGTTGGGCCATGTTTGCGAAATCGGCTGTTTATTCTGTGTCGGCCCTCGTGTTCATCAAATTTGACCAAACCATCCATTCGACCTGGGACTTTCCTAGGTTTATGTACCCCCGCGGAAGCCGTCTAAGAATTACCAGCGCTGTGAATGAATTGGCCAATAATGCAAACAACAGCGCCGAAATCCCCAAGGCGGAGTCCGGATGTTGGTGGGGATGTGCGGACGGGATGTGGACTCAGCACCGTCGGACGGCGGGCTCGTGCCTCCTTGTTCTTCAAAAGGCTGGAAAGGAAACCCTTACCGACCAGTACCCCCAGTCAAAGACTGGTATGACAGTTTCACGGATGGACCATTTCCCCTCTGATTAGCCGATGAACCGACTCTCCGGAACGAATTGTTGGCCAACGTCAAGCCAACTGTCAAGTCTAGAACGCGAACTACTGGAAACCGGATGAAGCATGCCTCATGACCGCGCCGCCCGATATCTGGGCCCGGTCCCGAATTACCCTCGCTTGATGAACGACATGCCGAGGCCTTTTGGACAACTCCGCTCTGGCCCCGTCTCTCAGAATTCAGTCTGTGCAACAGTTTTTAGTCACAACGGTATACCAGCATTGCCATCTAACAGCCTTCAACCTAGCCTTCAAGACTTCCCACTCCAGCCACTGTCATCGCTCTCATAGTCATTGTCGCTTGTGTCTTCATCGACAGAGAAAACAGCCAAAGCTTCCTCGTCGTCGTTATCAACGATGAAGACCTTAATGGGGTCGTCTTCCAAAACATCGCCATCCTCGTCGCCATCCTCGTCCGAAAAGATTTCTATAACCTCGACTCCATCGTTTGCTTCCGCGCTGGACTTTTCCAAGGACTGTCTCGTCATTCGCCGTGTAACGCGCACCCTGTCTGGTGAAATCGCCATAACACCGCCCCTCGCCTTCCTTTCCAGGAACCGGGTGTATCTCCCCCTCCGCTTCTTTTGCTTCCTTCCTGGTGGCTCTGTCGCACTCTGGTCTAGTGGCGAGGCTGTTTCCGGGGCAGTGACCTGTACCCTCTTTGTCATGACTGGGCGATGTAGCCTCTTCTTCCCCGTATCTGGTGCTGCTCCAGTCGGCCTATCCCTACTCACCGTTTTGCCCCTTGCGCTATCTGCCCCCTTTCGGAAGAGGCTTCCCGTGGTAGCCCCCCACTCCCTTGCGACCTCATTGACTCTCTCCCAAACCCTTTGCCTGGCCTCCTCCCTGTTCACGCCTTTTCTCAACAACATTTCGTAGTCTGTGTGAACATGCCTGATATGTGCTCGCACGGCCAGCATGACCTTGTCCTCCAACTCTCCTATCTTTGTGCTCCTACCTACCCTCCCGCTTCTCTTCTTGACGGCATGCTTGACGATGACCGGGATCGACTCTTTTGGTGTCTTGGGGAATAATTTGAGGATGATAGCCTCGAACTTATCCTCGATCAGCGCGTCCCGCTTCTGTACCGCCTGGGCTCGCTTGGGTGCGGTTTCGTGATAGGAGGAGAGCACTTGGCGGTAAATGCGATCTGGACAGCGAATTCCGAGGGTTCGATTGCGCTTATCAACAACGACATACAAAGGTTGTTTGGCGGCATGGGTAAGTAACCGGCAGTTTTTTGTAATGTAGATGTTGCCTTTTGGGACGTGGCGATACCCAGGTGGAACAGGGGTAAAGTGTAAAACTTTCGGCTCGTGGGCGCTACTTGAGGAAGAAGGCATCGTATCGTGGCTTGCGTCAAGACACTGAGAAAGCTAGGAAAACGAACAGACAAATTCCCAAATGGACCCGTTGATGGCAGCCGAATCAGAGTCCCGGGGCTTGCTGGCAGGCGAAAACGGGGCGGTTTCTTCCCAAAATGCAATGTGCAAAAGGCAGCAACCAACTTATGACGAGTGAAAGGAGGTGACCTGTGAAGTTTACTATAGCAGGCCAGAAAGGCATTGACACATAGATATCCTTGAAATGAAAAAAGGGAAACCCAGCTATAGGGCTGCAGTCGCTCTTTGTTGATGTTGGACGCCGTTCTCTCATTGGCTTTATTGATTTGCAGTCTGCTCCACGCCAAGGACGCACAGACCATTGCATCCAAATGTGTTTCCAGTTGGCAGCGTGGCAGCCAGCAACAACCTTTCATGCTCTCTTGCAACCTCAAAACAGAGACTTAAGAAAAGAATAGGGGCCCCACGATTTGCCTGAACAAATTCCTGACCACCGGACTCAACCCAACATTTAGAAGCTCCACTCCCCTTGTTTCCCAACGCTATGCCACAGGCTGAGACGTTGGAATGATCAATCCACAAGCACTCGCGATGACCCCACCGTAATGAAGAACAAGACTTTCAGGCACATAACGTATGCCTGTGACAGGATGAAGTTTGAGGAAGAACAAGAGTGGAAGAGGCGAGAGATTGGCCGGGAAAATGGTTTTCAATCATATAACCTGCGCACCTGCCCTGCCTCTCTTATTCACCATGATTATTTCTCTCCAGTATGCTGGACTGCACGTGCCCCACAAACTGTTATTGGTGTTGAGGCTGAAATTAAGCTTTGATAAAGGTGAGGGTCACAGCGGCTCTTCCCGCTTTCTTGAGTTGCACCAAAAATATTGTGGTGCGACCGTCTCAGCCATCAGCAGCAGCCATGATTAACCATAAAATGCGGTGGTTGATTCCAATGACAGAGATAGCCACAAGATTTGAATAGTACCTATTAAGTATATCGGGTTGGGGAATTGTTTGGTACTTCGTACCCGTAGTGGGGCATGAAGCCGAACTCCTATCCTTGTCCCTTGTTGAATGCCAAGACATCCCCCTGTCTTTGCTTCAAGCCACCATCACACAGACCTCCGTGAAGTCGAAAACAGCACATGGCATAGATGGCCAACTGAGAATGGAAGTTGTTTGAGATCATGTTAAGTTTAAACTGAATTTGCTTAAAATTACAGAGTCTTTTCCCCTCATCCTGTCTGTTTCACTGCATCCCAGCGGAAGCAGAACGCTCCTTCTGCGGAGTACTCGCTAGTCGGAATGCCCAGCTCCATCCCAGTGCCATCAAAAAGAACGCATCGCTTACAGAACCGGCATATCAAACCAGAGTTATTCCGTTGCGTTACAAATCTACAGTTCCGGATCATCACCTCGGATCGTAAACAGAATTTCTCGAATTTAACTTGGTTCAAGAACATTGCCTCTTTTATTTTCTGCGCACGGCTAACTCGGCTTCTTGCAGGATTGTATCGTCAGCTTCTATCAAACCCATCTTCTTCCAGCCCAGACTTCAACCCCACAGCAACGCAAGAACTCTATCTCACAATATCTGGGATAGTACGTTGGCTTTGGGTTGAATAGAAGCACCTTCGTTCGGACCGTTACAAATTGACCGAGATTGCGCTCGTCTCATTTTACCCGCCTGAGAGCGTCGCCAGCTCGTCAGCTTTCATTTCCCACTCATTGGTTGTGTATATCACACGATTATATGAAATGGCCGGTTTTCATCGGTGGAGCACAAGACATAAGATGGTTGCCATCTCACTTTTCTTCCCAGGACAGTCGCTCTACATCTTTGGCCACGTCCGTGGGAGCGTCCAGATATTGCCATCAATTTGGATCTGCTCCTCAGCTCTGTAACCTCGATCACCGTCAGGAACAGCCGTTGGGCGGGTGGTTTATTCGGGCTGCACCTTCAGGCGCGGAGCCGCTTTAGCCTATAATCCGTCAGATTCCTGCCCCGGGCCAATATCTGTCCTCGCGCAATCTTCTGGAACTAGAATCGAGGCCTTGGTGGTTCTTTCGAGTGCGATAACGGGTTAGTGGTCCTCTTAATTCCCCCAATAACCCGACTCGAGACCGGGGTATCATCGCCAAGTACGATGAACCCGCAAACCGCACCAACCACCAGCCTTCCAAGCCTTGCTGCGGTTGCATTTGGAGGTCTTCGGTATATTGTTATCCCATCACACACAATCTGGTACCCGGCTCTTGGCGGGCTCTTGCTGGGTCTGGGGAAAAGGAGTGACTGGTCAGACCCAGCATAAGTACATATACATCGAAGTTGTGCTTTAGGCTAACTGTGCCGCCACAGCTAACATCACACCCGGTACTCTCGGTGGTATTGCGCCGATCTCTTATCCGCATTCCGGGAGTTTGGGCAATCCTCCCGTCGTCTCCGTCCTGCAGGCTGCTAGTGGTAATCCCGGGACCATGATGCCGAGTCTCCATGTCCACGAGCCCGCCAACGTGGTGGGTCGGAATAGAACTCGGCTCCTTTGCTACTCAGTTCCCTGAAAGGACACTCTACGGTAGCGGGACTCTATGATCGCATCATGCCCCTTGCCTGTGCGGGGTTTATAGATGTATATCAAGGGCTGGTGCCATACGTTGGCCCTCGTTCAAGCTTGATATCTGTTCGAATCGAAGAAAAGCTTTTCATTAGGGCAGGCGGCGCAGTCCGAAGCTGAAAATGCATCTCTCGTTTGCTACATCGATCACCTTGGTGAGCTTGGCTGCTGCCAACCCCCTATCGAACCGCTTGGCCAAGCGAGCAGCTATCGATGATTGTCTGCGAACTGCCAATGTGCCTGTTGACGCACCCAACTCGAACGACTGGAGGGCCGATTCCAACCCCTTCAACCAAAGACTCAAATATACACCAGTTGCCATCGCAGTCCCGACCACGGTTGCGCAGGTGCAGGCTGCTGTTTCATGTGCTGCCAAGGTTAAGGTCAAGGTCAACCCCAAGTCTGGTGGACATAGCTATGCATCCTTTGGGCTTGGTGGTGAAGATGGCCACTTCGTGGTGCAGCTGGATCGTATGAACGCTGTCACGTATGACTCGGCAACGGAGATCGCAACCGTCCAAGCCGGTGCTCGTCTTGGCCGCGTCGCGACAGCTCTCTATAACAACGGCAAAAGAGCGTTCAGTCACGGAACATGTCCAGGGTATGTTGCCAATACATCCGCCTTCTGGCATGGTTGGAGTCAGTCACTCTCCTTTCTATTTGACTACTAACCGTTTTCGTTAACTTTAGTGTTGGGGTTGCTGGGCACTCTCTGCATGGAGGTTTTGGATTCAGCTCTCACACCTACGGCTTGGCCGTCGACGCCATTGTTGGAGCAACCGTGGTGCTCGCGGACTCCAGCGTGGTCGAAACATCCCAAACTGAAAATCCTCACATCTTCTGGGCGCTGCGTGGTGCGGGGTCCAATTTTGGAATCGTGACGAGTCTCAAGTTCAAAACATTTGCCGCCCCTTCGCAGGTGACGGTTTTTGCCATCAACCTGCCATGGACTAATGCGAGTGCTATTGTACAAGGCTGGTCCACCATTCAAGACTGGCTCAAGGCCGAGATGCCCAAGGAGATGAACGGTCGTATCCTTGGAAACCGCATGCAGACACAGATCCAGGGCCTTTACCACGGTACCCAGGCTCAACTCCGGACGGCGATTCAACCCCTTCTCACCAAGCTCAATGCACAGATCTCTCAGCAACAGCAGTATGATTGGATGGGTGCATTCTCCTACTACACCTATGGTCAGCAGGTGGATGTTTCGCGTCCTTACAACTTGGTGCGTTCGAAGGACTCCAACCCATGACCACAAGACTAACCGTCATCTCAGGTCGAAACATTCTACAGCAAGAGTCTAGTCACGCCCGCCTTACCCAGTAATGTACTGCAAAACGTTGCCAACTACTGGATCCAAAAAGCCATGTCCAACAATCGTAACTGGTTCATCATCATCGATCTATATGGCGGTGCCAACTCGGCCATCACAAAGGTGGCCAGCAATGCAACGGCCTATGCGTTTCGCGACCCCAACAATCACCTCTTCCTTTACGAGTTTTACGACCGTGTAAACTTCGGCTCCTACCCATCAAATGGGTTTGAATTCCTAGACGGCTGGGTCAAGAGTTTCACCGATGGGCTCGCCACAGACCAATGGGGAATGTACATCAACTATGCCGACCCGACTATGAATCGAACCATGGCGCAGGATGTCTACTACAGAAAGAACCTGCCGAAGCTGAGAGCGCTCAAGACAGAGCTTGATCCCACCGAGCTCTTTTACTACCCACAGGCTATTCAGCCCGTTTGATTGTGGAGGATCAGGGCTTGTGGCACAATGAAACGAGGGTCTTTGATCTGCACGGGGTATTTAGATATTTGTACAAGAAAGCTGAACAGGCATCATACCAGAGAAAGCTGGCACCAAGCGAAAGAAGCAGAGTATCAACCCTTGTTTTATCCGGAATAGGTCAAAGCTCTTGTCGAGTGAGTACTTGGTCTCTCTGGGTAGACCATGCTGCCTGAAGCAGTCTCCTGTCCACTTCAGCACCGGCCTCGTGTTCAGACACCTTGAGTCTCAAAAAGCGCTGACCAGTGACCCCCTTGTCATAAACCCACTTGTTTGATCCATTTTGTTCAACGTGATTGTATCCATACTCTACTCCGAATTCAAAGAGATCACCCAACCCCTCCATTGCATACAGCACCGTCAGAGGATCGAAGGACGGACGGGCTGTGGTGTACCCGTAATAGACATACGCAGCCTTGACCGGGTCATCCCGCGGGCCTTCGTTGATCAGACGAAGGCCAGACGTTACATTTTGCCCTATCTCGAACCCGGAAAAGGTGATTGGGCTGCCCTTCCAAGTATTGACAACATGAGCGGTGATAGATGGGTTGCTCTGGCAATGTTCGTTAGTATGCTTGCCTCTGCTTGCCTCAGGCTACCCACACTGGCAGGGGTAGGAGACAGATGAAAAGACCATGTGGCTTTGGTAACTCACGCCCCAGAAGTTGTATTCGTAGCCGGAGGGATATTCACCACCCATGATTACCAGTTCCGAGACTTTGGCGGCGATAAGATCGGGACCTGAAAGCGGTGAATAGATATCTGACGAGGAATTAAGAAGCCCAGACAACTGTGTTCAACAGCACGATGATAGTTAGCGTCTGAACAAGGAAGCATGGCAGAAGCTAGAAATAGACCGGTAGGGGAGGCAAATATATCAAACATTATCAAAGAATCCAATGGAAGTGATAGTGACGCTTTGATCAGGGGCGTCGGAGAGGATTTTTCGATACAGCGCGACTGGATCCCAGGCATCCTCGGCATGGCCCCAGGGCAACGAACCTCCAGACCAGTGATAAGCCACTTTGCTTGTGTATTCGCCTAATTCAAAAAACCAAGAGTCGAAGAACGTGACATTGGTCAGTGGACGCCGGATCCCGATGGGAGTATTACTGCCATAATGGGCCAGAATGGCAGATGCTGCCAGGGCCGAGTAGGTGGAGGGGAAATTGATATTGACGGCGAGAAGGTCGGCGGAAGATGATGTGGCTGCGAGCAGCAGGGCTCCGGCGTCGCTGAAGTCGGACATTGCGCAATGAGTCAGGAGAGAATAAGGCACAATTCTGAGGCAGATCGACTCACTCAACATCACTGAATAGATCAGTGTCTATGATGAGGCGTTTTGCTGTCGTTGGAGAGGCGGCGTGTGCTTGTATTATGCCGGCGAAAGCCAGGAGAAAAACAAGGCGATGAATCATAATGTTCGATGTTGTTGTATGATGTCGTGAGGTTGTTGGCAAATGATGTTTAAGAGTGACATCAAGGTCTTGGCTTGTAATGTTGGTGTAGGGTGTTACTCATGGCCAATGGCATGGTGGGTACCCTTCCGCCTACCATATTCTGTCACGGGTACACGAGGCTTGCACAGTACACTCAAGGTGGCACGAAAGCAGTTGGCGGAAAACATACCGGCTGGCACCCTGGATACAGGTATATATATATATACATATATACATACAAACTTGGGTTCGGCGCAGGGCAGAGGTGGCTGCCCAAAACGAGATCCCTTCTAGTGACATTGAACCCCTGAAACACCCTTTTCCTTTGTCACGTAACGCATTGGTTGATTGTAGTTGACTTATCCTTGTAGCGTCGTGCTCCAAGAGAACGCCAGTCAACAATGCTTGCCCAAGAAAGTTAACTAAGGCAATTCGAAGCCAGTGATGCACAATTGGCTAAAGCTTACGGTTCCCAATGGCACCTATGACATACAGAGTTGCCCCCTCACTTCTCTTATATCAGAGAGCCCCAATGACTCCAAAGAGAGGGAGTAGATCGTAATCGGAGGCCATGAACAACTCTGCTACGTCAAATAAACCTTGTGGAGTTGGCAGCGCCAACTGCACCAGAGGCTTTACAACGAACCCCTTCCCGCCGCCCCCAAACGCCATCTATGCTATTCTATGGTCTATACAATTCGATTCCCACTTTCCGGCCACCCGTATCTACCGCCCTGTTCTCGGACTTTGGCTTATGAGTCTCGGCCAAGGCGCTCCTCGTCATCGTCCCGAAGTTCATACGCTGGCCGGAATTTAGATGCGCCTTCGCCTACAGCCAAGGCGGGATTCGGACGGGTATCAGTGACGCCGCCAAGGGACGTGAAGCCACGGTTGTAAAGATCGCAAAATGGGATATCAAGATGCCGGATAAACTTGATCAATGGTTGTTAGCGTCACTCGTCTGGTGTGCAGGTGACGACGTGCTGAACTTACTGCCCAGATTTCAACATAATGCCAGTCGATCACAGGATGAATGCGCATAAACTGCGGCCAGCCCGCATCAGTGGGGTTGAAGTGCGAGAGAAACTCCCCATGGGGATCGGTCCGTCTTGTCCCGAGAAATATGGCTCTGATCGCGGGACGGTCCAGCAAATATGCCTCGAGCGCGGGCCGCATTGGTAGCGCATACCGTTTCAGGTCGAGATTGTACTCCTGCGCCGTTCTCTCCACAAACTCCTCGACCTCGGTAAACGGATGACGAGAAACAATGTATATCGACTGGAGGGACTTGTTTGTGTGGAAGCTGTGAGCCGATTCAACGGGTTCCGACGTCGGCGGTTGTGATGGCGGAGTCGGAATCTCGGACGGGGCTGCGACAACACTCCCAGAGGAAGTCGGCGGGCTGATGCAAGTTGGCAAGCAAGCCAAGATTAAAATCAGAAGCACGAGACAGTCCTTGCCGCCGTTGTACGAGAGAGAGAGGTGATCGAGCCTACACGGTTGCATCCAAAGACAGGTCAGCGTCATGTCGCAAAGGCAGCACATCACAAACGGCACGGCCCCCGCCTCACCCCGGGCAAGAAATGACGCAGCACCTACCCATATTGGCGCAGCGCCTCCTCGATCACGCCAATGGACACCCGAATCTGGCTCTGCACATTGCGCAAGACATTGTCGTTGGTGATGTCCTCGGTAAGGAAGGCATCGATCTTGCCCCGCAGCTCGTAGCATATATCTGGCAGGGTGCGCTGCGGCGGTTGCGCGACGGGCGCGGGTTCACCTTGCTTCGCAACTCCGTTGGTTCTCGGGATGGTCTGGGAAGCGACGGCGTTGTCGTGTATCATGGCGGTGGTGTTGTTGCTGGCGAATGAGCAAGACATGGCTGGTAAAGTGAAAGTTGGCCCCTGCCAACCTCTGTCAGATGCCAGACCCGACTTCGATGGCCGCGCCCCCCAGCCCAGACATCATGGCAATCTAGGGTAGGTTGGTGGACAGGGGTAAGCGCGGGGCGGCAGACCGAAGTTGGCCCGACCGCCCGTTCTCCGTCAGCCGCCCTAACCGTAATTACACGCGCTGTTACGGATTGCTCATTTGGCTGCCGATGCACTAACAGAAGCTGCCGCGGCATCGCAGCAAGGTCAGGGGCCACTAACAAAAACATTTCCACCCACTCGACTGGTCAAGCTCCAGCGAAGAGTTCCACATGAGATGGCTCCAAAACGTCGAGCTGGACACGCATTCATGCCACCATGACCACGACGGCCAAGGACAAACGCATTGCCAGCAGACTCGAATGCCTTCCCTCGGAACTCATCGAGCCTATCCTGGCCAACCTGACATTCCGAAATATCATTGCACTGTCGATATGTGCCGAAGACAACTGCCAACGGGCCAACGCTCTCGTCATCAGCCCAGCATGGAAGGACATCTGGCCTGTGTATGTGGCTCGGAAATCCGAGTTTCAGACAATCATGTCTAATAGTACCCTTGGGCGGCGGGAGCTGGTTAGCTTGATTTCCATTTCTCTCTGCTGTTATTGTTCCACTGTTGCTGATGGAAAATAGGCATGATCCTACAGATGGCGAGCTAGATCTGACTCCGGATATGTTTCGTCGAAGAATGGCACGCGGAAATGAACTCTATGGAAACGGTTATGAGTTCTTTCAACATACACATACCATCGTGTTTGAGAAGTTTCTGGAAATCACGGCCAGGGTCGGTCTTGTGACATTGTCATTCTTGTGCCAGGAACTTTCACTGAAAGAAATAGCGGCAATAGTACCTTGGCTTACCAGTGAACCATTCCCGGATGCCGATGAACTGCGCCGCGAGCTCTACAGAGAGATGAAAATGCTGAGATGCGCCTGTAGAGTGGACCCTGGGTCATATTCAACACCACTCGCAACCAAAGGCCAGCAACGTGTTTTTACACGGCCCGGGTGCCGCCATAAGCATACCAACCGACCGACACCGGGAAGATCGCTCCCACAAATAAAGGCCTTCATGGATGGATATTCGGCTGCACAAACACGGCTCAACGCAGTTAAGGTCCAGCAACTCGTGGCATTGGCCGCTCAATACTCTCGCCACTACACCCCACTCAGGATGTCATTGGCACCGCAATCTCCACGCCAGAACATTAGCCACATTCCACAGCAGCTGCGAGTGGTTGCCGAGTTCATACCTAGGATTCTAGATCTTGATCGTCGCCGTGAGCCAAAAACATCCAAACATGGCCACTGTCGGTTTCGTTACCCGCATGCTTGTCTCATACCCTATGACTGGTGTCTCCGCCTCTGGACCAGTGTTGTAGAAGCCTACCCTTCCTTGCTGGACATCACAGAAACCAAGCCCCATCGTTCTTACAATCCAACCTCCACCCGTCCACATCTCTCAGTGTCTTCAGATTGCTTTGCAAGGGCTCGACAGGTGCTACGAAAAGCCTACAGTGATGAACAGTAGACCGTTCACGATGGGAGTCCCAGTCTCACGAACCGAACTAAACGATGGTGCGTTTGTTCATTTCGCAAGGTCTTGTGGCCTCTCCGAAGGAGATAAGCTGACTGTTTCACAGGTGTTCCAATATTTTCGGTGCACGAAAAGCCGCTTGATTTACATCTTTGTGGGAATGCCCGCTCCATGATCGATAGCCGGGAAATTGAGTGGCTGGATGCGTTCCTCCAAGCAGTTGAGTGGATGGAAGATACGTTCCCGGAGCTTGTTGTGGAGATCATGTGGGACGAGGCTGAGGCATGATGGGCCGTGGCAAAAAAGGAACTGGTTGATGATATTTGGAGTGATCGTCCCGTTTCGCCATGTCAAATCATCTGTCCCCGTGTGGCTAAGTTGTGATGCGGGCTTCAATGGACTGTCAACTACGCCTTCTTTGCTGTGCGTGTGTATCTTGGCTTGGCCTTGAGCCATGACTTGCACGTGGTGAACAGGTAAGGTATCTAGCCCTGATATGGTCTATCGAAAATTACAGGGCTTCATAAAGCAAGAGAGGACTGTTTTGGCGCCACTTATATGTTTAACTACAGTTCAAGAGTTGAGCCATATTCAAGGGCCAGTCACTATGTTGCGTAACCTGTTGACGATCCTCAAAAACTCGTTGCCTGTGTTTCAAGGCCTATTCAAGAGGTCCAAGTAGAAAGGCATATATTGGATAGCTGTTTGGAGTTGGGTGGAGAGCACCAAGAAGACTAAAATAGTAGCCTACATAGGTACCTGTGTACATTGAATGGCCCTTTTCACTTTGTACCGCGGAGGGTATTGTTTCAGGGGATTATCCAAACAAAGTTTAATTATACAGAAGGGCATGCAAGCTTCTTTTATCCAAATTCATCCTTCACCTTTGTGTGTCAACATCGACCTCCACTGCGCCATAATGTTTCAGAAATCACTTCCAGACAGGCGTCCCTTCCACTCCCCGATTGCAACTGGCCACAACACCTTCCCGGCGCCATCCTCCACGCCGTCCATCTCAGGCGCACAGACATGTCCCCTGGATCTGTATTCACCACCAGGCCTTGTCTTCCACACGATAGAAGCTTCTGGTTGGGCGATCATGTTGATGGCAGCTTTCGTTATGTTGGTATGAACGTATGCCCCATTTTAAGCTGCATGTTTGGTTTCATTTTCAAAGACTCCCTCCAGGGATGAGACGGTGATAGTGTATCCAAGCGGTCTGAGGTCCTTGCCTCCTTGCGTACTCTTGTCAACGCCAGCTCGCGTTGGCTGCCCTAGCCTTTCCCGTTTGCTTTGACCTGGCGCTGGACCACATTTAGCGTCTCCGTGAGCTTCAGTGGAGGGTCGCGGGGATAAATCAAGATGCATGGTAGATCCCATCACAGGAAATAACTCCCTGTAGAGGATAAGGAGCACAAAAGCGTTGACCTAGTGCACGCCACCATGTCTTTATATAGTATCTCGGAGAGAGTCTGGACAGAGGACGATTCAAAGTAAGGATGTCCCAACTCTATACGACGATCAGCCTTAACACCATCAAAGAGGACCACGTTGTATTGCTGAGAAGAGGCCTCATACAGGCCGGAATCAGGGTCGACAATCATAAGACGATATAGCCACTACTCGAATCTGGTTCTTAAGAGTATCGCAACGGTGCATGGTTGTGGTATCTTGTGGTAGTTAGCCTAGATTAACACGAGCACGGGTGCCAAGGGCGGTTTTTCCGCTCAGTTGGAGTGACCCGGGAAGTGAGTGAGCTGAGTCGGCATAGCTGAAGACACCGCATGGTCGACACATTAATTTGTATACCAACTTGGAAGTGAGGGTCGTGGAGTAAGTATTTGCATACATAACAGAGACGAGAGCGGCTTGGCAGTCAGCAGCTGATATGCCACTGGACCTCATCCCGCCAGTTACAAGGTGACAGTTCGGCAGGTCTCGATCCATCAGCTTGGAGACTCAACTAATGAAATGGCAACTTCATGACTAATTGTCAGTTTAAGGGGCTTCGAAGAACGATAATATAGGAGCCTAGTACAGAAGAGGGTGTGTAAATAGTAATGATGAACTAAAAAGAATCACTGTAAAGTAGAAACTGTATATGGACACATTCTTTATCAGTATTCGCATATTACACTTTATAGGTGTTAGGGTAATATATAGCTTTTATTAACTAAATTCCCTACTACATTACTATTTCTATATTTAAAATCAAGGCCCTGGTCGTTAAAACCCAAATTATTAACCTTCTAATATTCAAATTTTTAATAATCTCTCAATAATAATAACTAGATAAAAAAGGAAGGCTAGCGCGTAACGTAAAATAAGTAAATAATAGCCTTACTTAATATTAAAGCAGTAACGTTAATATATATATTAAGGGACTAAAATAACTCTACACCTCCATTTGTAGGGACTTAGCTAGCTAAGTGTTACAGACCAACCATATAGCAAGGCAGAGTGGAGACTTGTGACGAACCTCTATACAGAACCTCTGAAAGGGATACGGGTTGAAGGTAACTTCTGACAATTGGTTCGGTGCAGCTAAACAGTATACAATAAGATGTCTCAATGTAAACACAAGGTACCGTAAATACAATTGTGAATTGCATACTGCGGAACTATTTGCAAGCTATCTAGTTCCTCCGTATATATAGACCTAATGCTAAGCCTAGATTATTCTATTTCTCCCCGGATCATAACCGACTCCTAAGGATCATAAGTGATTTCTGGAAATCGCTTATAATTCCTTCATGTCCCGGATGATCCACCTCTTACTGGTCCATCCTCCTTTCTCTTAATTAGCTGCCGTGCCTCCTCTTCCCTATTGGTTGTTCTTTGCGGGTGTCCACATTATATTCGTGATAAGGTTTAGAAAAATATTTGGGATGCTTTTAATTTTTGAAGGTTTTTTCGCTGGATTGAGTCTCCCAAAAAGGAAATTTTCTTCGTTTGTTTCGCGCTTATAGAGATAAAGAATGCTGTAGGTTTAACTCTCTATACGCCCTTGATTTTTTTAAAAAAATATTTTAGTAGTAAGCTTAGCTGTATAAAGCTTACTATATAGCTTTTTAATTTATTTTTTTATATAAAAATATATCTGAATAGCTCTTAATATAGTTTTATTCTTATATAAAACTTTTTTAAAAATACATATAAAAAATAAATTAAAAATCCGAGAAAAAAAATTGAATAAATTTTTAAAAAATTTTAAAATTAAAAGGTTATAAAAAAACATAAACCTTTTTTCTTTTAAAAAAAGAAAGAAAAGATTAAAAAAAAAGATTTTAAAAAAAGATTAAAAAACTTAAAGATTTGTAGGTGCCTTAAATGCGGAGCGGAGCGGAGTTTCCTATATAACTTTAATTTTTGTAGGAGGTAGTGCGTAGATATTAAAAAAAGTAATGCAGAAAGATAAAATCATTAGAATTTTTGCAAGAGGTAAGCTTACCTAAGTATTTACTATAAATAGCTAGAAATAACGTAAACTATTTAAATCTAATTATACCTGCATGTTAGTCTCTATAAAGGTTGAAGTTTGTTAAAATTAGTTTCCGTGAGGCTTATTTTACAGTGAAATGGTGAGAAAACACACAAAACAACCACAACACCACAAATATACCCTCAATAGGTCTCAGAATGAACACACCTGCGTGACAGTGACTCGCTCGCAGGCCGCACTACACGTAGGACAAAGAAAAGACACTATGGGCTCGCAGGTGTTACGGTTCTGGAAGACAGTGGGGCCACGACGGACCAATCAGGACTGGACCGCGCAATCGAGCGGGGCTCACGGTCCAGGTGGGCAAACGGACCAATCAGATGGGGACCGGGGACCGTCTGTAAGTCAACGGTCCACGGTCCCAAGGTCTATATATACGGAGGAACTGGCTGGTGTAGATAGACAGTTCCGCAGTATGCAATTCACAATTGTATTCACGGTATCTTGTGTTTACATTGAGACATCTTGTTTGTGCACTGTTTAGCTGCACCGAACCAATTGTCAGAAGTCACCTTCAACCCGTATCCCTTTCAGAGGTTCTGTACAGGAGTTCGTCACACGTTTCTTTCGATCCTAATATAGCCGGTCCTTCCTTTTTAA